TGGGCTAAAAGGACAGAGCCAGTTTTGGACCGCCCTAAAAATAGAATATTTCTAAAATTATCCTTTGTGCCCAAAAGTGACCGCTAATACGGGAAGTATGAAAACGTAAAACAAAACATACCAAAAGCAAAAACTTATTACTTTCCGCTTTCAAAAATAAGAAGATGTCTCGATGTATGCATTGGATTTGGGTCTCGTCAGAGCCTAATTCCTTGACATTATCCAGAACCTCACGTCTTTCAACGCTCTTATCATCAAACCCACCCCAAGCCAGATGTCCCGGTCTGGTAGTCGTCATTGGCTGCCGACAAACTATCTTTGGGAAACATCGGAAAGACAGTGTTTCTCTTCAATTATATCAAGATTTCCTACTAAGCACTGCCCCTTTACACCTCAAGAAAAAAGGGAATTCTCAGCCGAAATCTTGCTGCAAGCCTGAATGGCAGCAATGTCTTCCCTTTCACAGTAGGGTTGAGAATGCCGAAAGCTTTCTCTACGCAAAACTTCTTTACCCGTTCACGGACGTCTTCTGCTTCTTTGCATATGGGGTGGAAGACCTCACAGCGATCGCTTTTAAAATTAGCACTTGGATGAAGTTGATAACTCCTAAGCCAAGTGTTCTCCCATCAGTCCTTATCATTCTAGAGTTCTCCATGGATCAAAAACCCGTATTGGAGCACATAAAAGCTCAGGTTTATGAAGTTACTGGCCTTGAATTGCCAGAATTCTTTTCGAGCGTCGAGTTCCGAAGGAGTATAGGCCGAAAGGCTAACATAATCCAAACCCACCTTCAAAACAGTTCTCGACTCATTCAAAGCAAGCGGGAACAGTCATCGATATCTCTTTCTTCAAAACATTTCATAGACCTCTTCGAGTCTACTCATCAAGCAATTACCATGGCTCGGGATAAGACTTTCAACTTTGCTGAAGCATCTAGACAAAAGTTTCCTATCAGCTCAGAGCTGGCCCTCCATCTAAGCAGCTTTCTATGTCTTATACCCGAAGCAAAAGACCTATCGTATTTTGCGTCTAAGTACATCGCATCTTGCTTGGTTCTGGGTCATTACGTTCCAGAGATGCATCTTTTCGATCCCAAGGAAGTTTTCGATGCATTATACAGAGATAAGTGCATCGCTGCAGCACGTACTGCGTTCCAGCGAAAAGACGGGATCATGTTGCCCAGTGCGATAGTAACCAGTATCTCCCGACATTTTTCAGAGATAGTCCAGTTCCTTAAACAAGGCAAAACGGCCTTAACCATTCACAGCAAAATCCTCAGGGAGTCTACATCTCGGTGGACAGTGGTAAAAGGTAGCAAGACTTGTTTCACCTGCCTGACGAGACAACATGAACATTTACTTTCATGCGGGCATACTATCTGCGGAGTATGTCAACAGAATTTTGGGCTTTCTACGTCCAGCGACCCGCTATTATTCAAGTACCACAAATGCCTGTTTTGCAATGAGAACGTGGACTTTACTATACGAATTCATCCACCGACAGCCGGAGTTAAAGTACTGAGTGTAGATGGCGGAGGAGTAAGGGGTATTGTCTGCTTGGAGATGCTTAAAATGCTCCAAGACAAAATCGGCCTTCCAATTCCCATTCAAGAGCATTTCAGTATGGCATATGGCATCAGCGCAGGCGAGTGAGACCTTTGGTGCTTCGCGCCGTTTCTAATACGGTAGCAGGTAGTCTCATCATTGGGGCTATGTTCCTTAACGGATGGTCCGTGGCTAAATGCGCTACGGCATTCGAAGCTTTGTCACAAGTCGCCTTTAAGCCGTGCAACTGGAACATATTTCCATTCAACGCAATGCGAAAGGTCGTGTCAATGATGGTCTCTGATGCTATTTATTCCTCGAAAAACATCGAGGGGCCCTTGCAAGAGGTATTCGGAGGTCGAAAGATACGGGACTCTTCGTACGCCAACACCATAGGCGCAAAAGTTGGCATGGCTGCTACGACCGTCACAGAGCCATTAACATACTTATTCACAAATTACAACGGGCTGGGGGGTGAAAGGTTAGGTACGTACTTCTAAGCAAATAGGCAAGTCGTTGCCTGAGTTCTTCTAGGTTATTCAATTTCGTCCGATCATAACGTGAATGTCTGGGAAGTGTAAGTTGACCGACCAGTGCCAATTCCAATGACTAAAACTCAGCAGGGCCCGCAGTAGTACTGCAGCGCCATTGTAAGACGTCTACTGGCCATCAACTGGCGGGTTTACTAACAAAGGCCAGGGTATTCCCCCCTCACCACATCAAAGGCTTTGGATCTTTTCAGGACACTGGCGTGTTTCCCAGTAATCCCGTGTTCCTCTCTCTCTCAGAAATGCGTGGAGCATATCCGAACTTGGACGAACCAGATCTCTTGCTCAACCTCAGCACTGAGTCATTCGAGCCTGAAACCAGCGACCGAAAACGTCGTCGCTTTTTCACAGATTGGTGTATACCGCGTCTCTTTCGGGCATATCTAAGCATCATCGGCGGACGCAAGGCCTGGGGGGACTTCATTTCTTCTACAAAAAAGCGGTCTAGAAATAGATACCGCCGACTTGGGGTTCGATTTAAGGGGCCCGAGCCAGCTCTGGATGCCGCCGACAAGATACTTCTCTTGAGATCTATGGTATATGGCGATGCATGCCTTTCGCTTGAGATTGACGAAATAGCCCAGAGAATGGTTGCCTGTCTGTTTTACTTTGAACTAAGGTCTATTGCCAGCCCAACATGCAGCGTTGAGGGTCGGATACTGTGCCTTAGGAAGGCATCAGACCCGGCCTTGTCTGCTATAGTTGACAGATTGCAGAGAAACCGCGCAAGGTTTATCGTCAACGATCACTCAATAGAATTCATAAAGGAAGGCAGCATAGACAAAGACGGAAATTTTGAAGTACGCGCAGCGATATCTCCCACCCAGAAAATCTCAGTTCTACTACAGGAAGCTCAGTCAAACCCCTTCCCCATCAGTGGCTCGCCTTTTGAAGTAAGAGACCTAGTGGAAAGACAAGGCTTGAATGCGAACTTTGGTACCGGCCTTCATAAGCGAGCTAGGCAAGCTGACGATGGACCTTTACGACCAATGAAGAGAAGGAAGATAAATGGAAAGTCGTAAAAGACAGGGCTAGATGATTAGTTTGCGCAGTCTCATAGTTTAACGTTGTGTTGTATGTTTAAATTACTAGCTGTTCGCCACTAGAGACAGCTATGGAAGATGGTCATACGGACTGAAGTCGATCAGCATGATATTGATCCGCCCCTATCTATATTTAAGGCTCTAGTGCCGAGACATCCGGCAAGGCAGCGGGTGTCGCGGAGAATAGTAGATAAAGGCATAGTAGCAATTACTTCTACATTCAGAATCAGTCCCCGAGAATCAGCCCCCGATGAATAAACGGCTTACTCTAACCTTTACTTCGGGGGATCCTATTTATAACAAGCCTCTTTCCTTGACGTTGTTGCGCTGTCCCAGAAATATGTTGCGGAAATCTGCTTAGGAGATTGCCTTATAGTCGTCAGGTAGGTTATTAGATGCAGTCGGCATGGTCGGGGAATGCGTGAAGTGACTTGATTCTTCTAAATTACTGAGCGCTGGCTAGACTGACTCGAAGGGGCAAGGGGCAAAGGATGACGCCTCACGTAAGGCGGAGCATGGTGCCCTGCTATTAGTGTGGTGTATTTGTGTCGGGACCAGAGGTAAGAGCCCGTGCAGGCCACGGCGCCGGCCCGGTCCCGGCCCCGAGCCAGGGCCCCAGTCATAAACCTCTCGCCTCGCCACCACATTCTTTAGAACCTAGGAAGAACAAGCACAGTTATTACGATTAGAGAATCTCTTTGCTCACCCCGCCGTACGGCAGTATATTCACCTGATGAGATGATCCCAACAATTTGATTTGAAATGGAAATAGCTTATGTAATATAACTTGTGTCTAGCGTGCACGGGCCACGGAGGGAGTTGCTCTCGCGGTGGCCCGTGCTCATAACTTCGTTGCCTTTTATGCCTTGGTGCACTGAGGCCCAGTGGGTTTGTACATCGTACATCCTAGCGGCCTCGTGGATTTCAAGGAAGGCTTTTTGTGAGGAGTGTAGAGTCTCGCCCCGTATCCCCTGTATGACGCTGGTGTTGTCGATACAGATGTGGACAGGCTGGCCTTGGGAGGTAAAGTGGACTCGCCGGAGCCCCGCCGGAGCCCCTTCAGCCTCACCGTCGAACACTTCTGCTAGGCCAAGTCGGCCACAGCCCTGTGCTATACGTCTCTTCTCTCGGTAGATAACAGACCCATACCCAGTGGCTCCATTAGGCGCCTTAGAACCGTCCAAGTAGGCGGTTATAGCAGTGCTGGCCTTGTACACCTTAAGGCGAGCTCTGCGTCAACGATCGGGTGGCTCGGTTCTTACATAGAATCTTTTCATGTTTCCAATAAAATGAATGGCCAACTGTTCGGTGGCGTCTCCATGAGCATGCTCCCCAATGTGACCTGGGGCCGGCCTCGCAGATTCGTTTTCCACCAGAGCAGCCGGAGAGAATGTAAGAACGGATTTGAAGATCCGGCGCCAGGTCTACCCAAGAGGCCTTTGACACCGCAGTACGCAGAGGAAAGCAGAATAACAGAAGAACAAGTTTGATGCAACATACGGATGACCCTTCGGAAAAGTTGTGGGGACGGACTTAACGTGTCGAGGCCTAGGAGTAGTATAGATGAGCTTTATTCTAAATCGCCTCTATTTACTTCTCGTCTCGTAGGACAGTCTTCCTGGCTCAATACGAGTCACATATTTAGAGCGACTTTAATTAGAAAGGAACTGTATAATCTGGTAACGCCAGTGTATTACGGATGCTCCAGTAGGTGTGAGGAAAAAAGGACAATGAATCACACCAACACACCTAATACCAGGGAGGTGCAAGACTAAGTCTATTAGGCAATGAAGACTGCGGTCTATTAAGCGTAACTAGCCGCTACCGTATTGAACTATTGTTGGCCCTCTCACGTCACCATCCTATTAGGTTGGGAAGAATTGAACTCCGGTCGGGCCTCGGCGCTGCCGGATGTCGTGGGGCCCGTTAATGGTGTTGATGAGCCAGTCCAGGTCGCCCCAGGCTTTGTCCACGTCGTTGGTCTTGGAGAGCACATACAGGCCTAAGCCACCGATCATCTCCGCCATGTTGATATCTCCGTCGTTCTCCATACTAGTGCCCGTCCGGACTGTATCGATGAGATGGCCGAGAGCGTAGATCAGGGCCTCCTCGCAGTCATCCTCCTTGATGGTATGCTGGATGTAGCCGCGGCCTAGCTGGCCGAGCTGAGGAATCTTAAGTATACGCTCGCCCGTCACTGGGTGCTTGGAGCCATGGTCGAGGCGGTCCTGGAAGAAGGTGACATAAAAGTCCGCCAGCGACCTTCCCTCTTCGTCTTCAGGCACGAAGACCACGCATCTCATATCCTTCACGGCCTGCTGGCCCTCGTCGTTGGTATGCAGGTCGATCTCCCATAACAGGCTTCCTGGGTTCAGCTCGTCGCCAGTAGTATAGTCGAAGAAGTCGAGGAGACCAGCCCCAGAGAGCTGCTCAGCGCGCCAGTGATCATGTCGAGCAACGCCGCCCTTCATGATGAAGGCAATCTTCTTGCAGTCCGGGGAGAGCTGGGAGAGCACCAAGGCGATGGCCTTGTGAGCTCCAAAGGTGTTTGTGAACATGACCTTGTGGGTCGTCGTGAAAGGTTGCTTGGCTTTGAGGATCTCGGCGTCGATGATTTGGAACATCTCGAGGTCGGGGATGTCGATTTCGCCGCGGCTGAACGCACGGAGGCGGTTGATGACGTTGGTGGTGGATGCCGCCATGTTGGGAGCTGGACTCGGGACTGCAACGTGTTAGCACTATGTGAGGTGAGGTTGAGGGAAGGAGGCAGGCAATGGCTGTACTCACTGCTTGGAGGTTTTGTGTGGATTTGCGGAAGGTTTGGAGAGGCGGCTTGAGGGATGTTCTTGGAAGGTTAGTAGTGAGGTCCCGGGATGGCGGGTTTTATTTTATTCGGCGAGGTTGGCAAACTGGAAATGGAAGGAAGGTGCTGCGCCTACCTGTTTGTTGTGCGGCAAGAGGCATGGGCACTACCTTTAGGTTCCTTTAGGCAAGAGAGACAGTCGAACCGTTGACCACGGGGCTTGCTGCCCAGGATTATAAGGCGGAAGATCTCCTCGCTTGAGGAAGTCACGTCTCGATTGAGGAGGAAGGTACGCGTCCACGCAGGACGAAAACAAAGGATGAAAAACACAGTACTGTTAAAATGTAGCCGTTCCAGTCAAGTTTTCAGTTATTATTATTTTTTCCCAACCTACCTACGCGCGGCTTCCTTCCCTTCTCAATATTATAACCCGAATCTCCAGCAGCTTTCACATCACATCACGCCTCAACTCGCTGCCTGCTCTCAATGCCTCACGACTGGTTCGGGTGGAAAGCGGCCCTTGGTTCTGAGATGGACACACCAGGCTCGGACGCGGTCCGGGGTCGGGTGGTACGATGGGTATTAACGGCGGCACGGCGCAGCACAGAACAACATTGCAGGCGAAGCCACACCGGAACTGGCCTTTTGCCTTGTTACATCCAGGCGTAGGCTTCAGTTGTGTTCGCCAGCGCAGGACTACGTTCAGAGGCGTATGGAAGATGATACCTTTGAAGCCGCGGCCTTGACATGCCTCGAGGGCTGGCTTCCCTCAGAGGGTGCTGTTTCCAACTGCTGGCTAACTTGCTGGCTTGGGACCGGCGGGTGTGCAAACTTATCAGGGGCATTCGCTCGCTCGGCGAGTCCGTCAACAAGACCGTGGCGGCTGAAGGCCCTGAACTATTTTCACTAGACTGATACGATGACACTAAGTTGCCCACATATTAGCGACAGCTGGAACAATTTTCCCATCCGCCGTCTATAATATGCGTTATCTGTTGGGTGTAAATCAAACCCTGGCTTTCACCCTTCTTCAGTTTCTTATCCTTCTTCTTGGACTTCTTGGACAATGTCGGCCACCATTCATCGTCTTCTACAGGCTCCGCCACTGGTCGGAATCAGGCTCTGGCACAAAATCCGTTGACACAACGGGCTCAGGCTCGGCTGCTACCTCTGTCGTTGGCCCTGGCGCGAAACCCGTTCATGCAACTGCCTCGGTTTCTGCTAGAATCTCCACCGCTGCTTTCAACCTGGTTCTGGTAAAACTGCCTCCATCACTGGATCCGCCCAGACTCCGGGGCGGCCACCGGCTCGGGCGATAACGTCATATTTCGTGGTCAGGGCCTGCTCTGCGACCACACTTAGGCCCCTTGAGATGGAAAATTGATACCGGGGATGGCATCATATCCGTAGAGACCTTTGTGGCTACGTGCACGTGTATTTCACTCGATTCGATGCTGTTGTTTCAAAAATTCGTTCTCGCTGCTGAAGATGTTTGCCCACCAGGGCCCCACAATCAGGTGATGACCAGAAGACCTCATAACAGTCACGTGATAGTAAGGCTGTTGGCTCTTGGAACGGAAGAAGTATGTGTAACGTAGCGAGTCGTTACTTGAAGGGCGGTATCGCGACGAAGCGACACGGATTGCATGTCGCGACCGCAAGCTAGATGTGCAAAAAAAAAATCCACAGTCACGACCGTAGTGTACGTTCTCTCTCTCTATCTCTCGCACCGCCAATTATTCAGCCGTGCCTCTTACCTAGGTACCTCGGTAAATTTTGTTTACTGACAATGAAGGGCTTAGACACGCTAATGAACGTTTTAACAAGCGACACGACAGACTTCAAATCAACTACCACCAATGAATGATGACAGCGGCATACCGATTCCTTGGTCGTCAAGTCCTCCAAGGAAATCAGACGGTATGGCGAGCGCGTCGCGTATAGACAAGGATACCAACGCGCCGACAAGTCTTCGCGCGAGCAAAGAGATGGATACGCTAGCCCTGCCCCTGAATGGATCGACAGTCGCTCGCCCACTGCCCTTTCCGGATACCCTACCGCCACAGCGAAAATAGAACTCGAAACAAAAGCGCCTCATGAAGCGCGCCAGACGACTCCAGATAGAAAGGTCGCAGGCGGACATGTCGCTGGGGGCGGCATCAGCGGGCAACGTCCATCTTATGCCAAGGGACGAACTTCTAAGTCCAGAATGAATACGTGCGAAGCTGTCAGCAATCCCCAACCAGGCCTGTCTCATCCGTCCCGGCAACCGCCGTGGATACACAGCATCCGATTCGTTGATCGTCACGTTTCGGGGGTTGATCCGGGCAAGAGACGTCGGGTGCACAGTCTGCGCTTTCTACGAACAGGGACCCACCGTGGACACACAAACTAAACAGATGCCAACATCGGGGCGAGTCATCAGAAGCCAGGCGGTGGCTCGAAATGTTCCGGTCCTATCGAGCGTGTGGTGGTGGTACGGGTGCGCGATGTCAGGAGTGTCAATTCCCACTGATGCTGTGTTGGCGGACGGCATATCGAAAAGAGATGGATGAGAATTATGGGAACGAGGAAGATGCGCTTAAAGAACACAACGTCTTATACAGCGAGGTGCAGTGCGCGTGGGTCAAGGTGGTGCAACGCTTCGTAGCAGGATGTATGGTGGTTGGGGGTGTCGAAACTGGTGCGGGGTTGAGCACGTTGGGGGCTACAGTACTGAAGGAGATGGGATGGTTAGATTGGACGGGCCTAGAGGAGACAGGACCAGAACACATACGAGGATGGCTAGAGGAGATGGACATGGTTGATGGACTCCGTTGTCCGCGATTACTGAGGTTATTCTGGCTCCTAGCACATTGCTGAGGTATGCAAGGTAGTCCAAGTGACTGCAAGCCGTAGTTCTTGTTCAAGCACTTAGGAGTTTGTCAGGCGGAGAAGTTTTCAGAGCTTGAATGACCTTATTCTTGCTAGGGAGGTCTAATTCTCTGTCTCGGTTGAGACTTCTACTGTGCACTGCAATACGTATGTGCGTCCTCCCGCGTAAAAGACTGTCGTCCTCGCAATGTCATGGGCTTCATGGCCCTCAATAAGACGCTGTGTCCCCGGCTACCAATTGCTGCCGTGCTCATGACCCGCGGGCTTCCTCGCCCTTCATGCCACTTACACTTGTGGTGCTTTCTCCACTGTCCCCTTACCTCGTCGTCAACCTCATGACTGATTTTGTGGGTTCACCTTGCCTGCCCTGCATTCTTCAGCTTGAATATAACGGATGAGACTTGATGGGTCTGTGGCGTGGCTACCGGCCGGGACTACTGCTGCGATGTCGAGGAGCTCAGGTAAATCTCCCTGGGGACGATGGGAGACTCGGGCCACGCAGCCTGGTCATTCGAGAGGATGCCTGGGGACGGTAGCGCCAGTCTGTGGCTATGGTTCAGGTGGACGCCACCGTAGATATGGTAAGGGACGACGTTGGAGTTCTCGTCCTCCGGTGGTGGGTACAGCACCCCGTGGGGGAAGTGACCGTTGATGACGCCAATCGGGGCGGGAAGGGGGCCATGGGACGCCGCCGCGTGGCTGTCAGGCATGGGCTCGACGGGTGTGGCAGAGTACTTTGACCAGTGTGGGCAGTCCTCGAACACGCGGTCTGTCGTCAGGACCAAGGTACGGCTCGTCTGTACAGACACTGGGTGTTAGTGATGATGTGTATGGAGAGTTTGATTATCCATACTTACCTTCGGGTTATCGCGGGGAAGACATCCACACCAGCCGTAGAGGGTGAAGTTCCGGATGTCAATTAGATGGTGAAAGTTGGGCTTCTTAGAGGGCTGGGGCCCATGCTGGGGAAACCAGATGTAGATCTGGAGGTTGGCGGCCTTGATGAAGTCGGGCTGTTTGTCGCTGCGGAACACGGCGTCGTACAGGCGGGCGAGGTCGGCCTGAACGGCGAACTGCCAAACGTTCGGGAGGTGACACTTGGCGGGGTCACTGAAGTCGAATGTGCTTCCCACCGCTCTGAAAGGGGAAGCCTTCAGGCGTTGCTCCTTCCCAGTGGCGTTGCTGTCGATGAAGTCGATAAAGGTTCTGAGGGTGTTGTGACTGGGATCGTCATGGGGGAGGATGCTGGGCTTGACTAGCATAGGGCGGATAGCACAGAGTATCGTCTCCTCGGCCGGCTTCTGGTCAGCCGACAGCTTGGAATTAGAGGCAACGGGAGTGGGCATGTTGCTAGGAGATAGTCAGTGGTTGCTGAGAAGGAGAGGGATGCATTTGGGCGCTCACCTCGCGCATGGAAGGTTAGAGGGGGAAAGCGGTTGATTCGGTTGGGCAGTGTTGTGAGGGCGTGTTAATGGGCAGTAGGCGGCTCTCCGTCGCGAAGATGGCTTGATATGTGTGGGGATTGAAAAGAAGAAGGTCTGATCGTTTATCTTCATACCGAGGGAATGAGGGTATATTTGTTGTGTGCAAGGGGAGGGGCTGGAGAGATCTGGTTTTATTGGTTTCTTCCTCTAGCTTCTGCTAGTGGGATGGAGAACGGGGAAGAGTGATGAAATAAAGCTGGCAATAGATGGGGAAGGGACTTGTAGGCGAAGAGGATGGAAGGTGCAGCCTTGGATGCCCCGCAAACCGCACTTTTGTTTGGGATTTTGCTGGGTGAGATGTGACACGTGAAGGAAAGCTGGAGATGTTGAGAAATTTGATTTTTACAAGCCGTTTGGATTTGTGTGGTTTTATAGGAGAAAAGAAAAACACCATAACTTGGCTACTATAGGCCCTGCAGGCAATTGCCGTGGTCGTGATGGAGTCAAGCTTGCTGACCCGCTTGCTGCAGTTGCCACAGACATAGCTCAGCTCCATTGCATGGCTGGCTTCTTTTGCGGGGGAGAGGAGGGGGGATGTACAGTAGTTCACACATAAGAGGCGAAAACATGTGGATTAGTGTTCAATTAATGTGTTTCTAAGCTGTGATAAATAGCTATACCATACAATATCATCTGTCCCCTACGACTTCTGGATCCTTCTGTGCATCGTGAAGGACCTTCTTCATTGAGGAGTAGAGCTCAGGCTCCGGCGTTTTCCACCTTTCACCTCTTGGGAACACCCCTTTGCGTAATCTATTGACCCACGGAATCAATGGCTGGTAGTATGAAGTAAAGTTCTCGCCTGCATTTCGGAGAAAATCTTCCTCGTCAATAATCTCGCCCTTTTTTAACCGCACCAGCTTGTTGTCGCTTTCATAATTCCAACCGTCAAACTCCGTAGGCCCAACATCTTTACCATCCGCATCATAATGAATGCATATCCAGAACAGCACCCAGAAGAACGACTCCAGGTCATGCATGAATGAATGCTGCTCGCCTAGCATCGCCCCGATTGCCATGAAGGCCCTCGTGCCGGTCTTTCCCTTGGCACCCGAAGCACCCTCTCGTTGCTCCCGAATAGCGAGATCAAGGTCGATCAAGAAGGCAGGCCAGGATGGGTTGCCACTGTCCTCATTGATCATGAGATTGTTGATGGATATATCTCTGTGGAGGATGCCTGCCTTGTACAAAGACTCATGACCCTCAATGCAGCCTACTAAAGCAGCAAGGAGTGATGAGCGTGAGCTTGCCTTATAGATAGGTTTGCCATAATCCTGGAGAATGATACGCCGATGAACCCGATTTGGTGGTACACTCGTAGCCTTTGTTGGAGACACGGAGCAGGATCGCTTGCTTGGGGGCAAAGCGGAATCGGTTTGGCTGGACGGACGCTTTCTGCTAGTGCTGCTGCGGCCCTTCCGCGGGGCATCTTTTGCTATGTTGCTTGGTGGCATCTGTCGTCCTGGCCGGTAGTTTGTCGCTGTTGTGATATCTAGACTGTGCCGAACATTGTTCCAAACGTCATCGTTTGTCTCGTGAACCTGGACCGTTTCGTGGTGATAATACCGGGCCACATTCCCTCGCATACCTCCCGAGGTCGAGCCACGCCTTGGAGGCTGTATCGGCAAATGGGTTGCTCTTGAGTTCTCCAGGTACCAGTATCTGCTTCCGGTCGTATCGAGAACCTTGGCCAGCCTCGAGGTTGTCGACGAACCCGACATCCAGTTTGCGGACTGCTGCGGAACCCCGCATCGGCGTGTTGGGCTGTGCTAGGAGGCTTCGTTGATGTGTTGTATTTGACTTCTGGGTGTCTGCGAACACTGCTAGCCTCTTGACGAAGTCCGCAAGCCACTCCAGCACGCTTTTCTCGTTTGCGTCCTGGGGCCATCCCTTCCAGCCGTTTTGGAAAAAGGGATCGTTACCATCGACTCGGCACTGGGCGAAGAACTCCTTGGACGCTGCCTCAAGTCCAACGACACCTCCAAAATATGCGTCGCGAAAGCCGGGAAGCCCGACATACATAGTGCCGAGCTCCTCTTTCAGTATACTGTCAACATATCTGCGGTGTTCGGACGAGTTTGCAAAACTGCTCGTATTGTGCAGCCAGGGGGTTTGTTGACGTGAAGACGCTATTGATCGGGGGGGTGGGGTGGCTTCGATAACGAGGTTGCCGACTTGACGCCAAATCAGCTCATCGTCAAGGTCGTCGGCAAGGGCTGCTTTCAGGAGAGGTTTGGCTCGATTGAGGTCGAAGTCGTCGCTAGTGACCTTCGCATTTAGGTTCGATAATTCGCCAAAAAATGCTCTTCCGCTGCTGGACCGGAGAAATCGAGCGGCTGGAAGAACTTGAAGTGCTGATAGGAGGACGAGAGAAAGGATTTGGAGATCTATGCGACCGGTCAGCAGATGAAGATAGTCGAGCCACCGAGTAACCCAAGGTCCTGCCTACCTTCTTCACCAAGCCGGTCTACCGTGTGCTGGTCACTGACGAAGCCTTTATCTTTGCAGATGGAATTGAAGCGATCTCTAAAGGCAGAGAGACCATTGCCGATAGGATTTGCTTTGATGATGTCTGACTGCGACTGGTCCGCCATGGTAGGTAGGATGCCCTTGACGTATGGCAGAGGTGTGGATCATGACGTTGCGTGGGCAGTCGCGTTGCTTGGGTAAATTTTCGCGTAACGCATTGACCAGCCACTTAGCTCCCCTGACATGGCAAAACGTTATCCCGATGACCTACCCACCGGCCACAGTGGGGCTCATATGTTTTTCCTTTGGTATCTCCATCCAGGGTGGCGGTGTAGTGTTCGGCTTATTTCCGGCGAACCAACACAGACGAGGGCCACTAAATCACTGGCTACAGATTGGCTAGGTGAAAAGTGGGGTCCACGTCCGTCCAGCTTGGATTTTTTAGGGAAGAAACGGCTTCGGAGTGCTCACGGCCTAATCGTCAGCATGGATGGCCCCTGAACGGCAACATGTCCCTCTCGTACGCCACTTTTACATCACACTAACTTGCTGCCCGCCGCGGATGCGTAGTTCTGTGTCCATCCACCCATTAGGGACCTCATTATGGAGGTGCCCAACACGCAGCTGATATACCCTGTCAGGCTATGGAAGAACGCCTCGCGATGTAAGATGACGCCATCTGAAACAAACAGCTCTATTACCTCGTCGGGCACCGTTGCCCAAGGCGCTTCGGCGGGCTGACGGGCAGGCAACTGTCGGTCAGCTTTTGTGGCTGTGCTTCATAACAGGCTGCGCCTGAATCTCGGATTATGAAGAGGCACGCCCCCGCACGCTACTCAACCCGATCTCCAACTCCTCACCCAAATCACCATGGAACCAGTGGGACTAGCCGTTGGTGTCGCAGGCCTTGCTGGCCTCTTCAGCACTTGCTTGGAAGCTGTCCAAAGGGTTGACTCGTACAAAAACTATGGCCGCGATTCTCGTTCCCTCGCCGCGCAGTTCGACGCCGATAAGCACCGATTCGAGCAATGGGGCCAGGCCGTCGGCATCAAAGACGGGAAGCTGTCCGATGCCCACCACCCCGCTCTCGATGATGCGCAAAAGTTGTCGATAGTTCACAAATTGTTGGGCAGCATTCAAGATTTCTGTAGCGGTGCAGACGACACCATCGACCAACGGCCTGCCCTAGCAGACGGCGAATTCCCGACAAACAAGCTACTCTCTACCCGGCTAGCCCGGCCACGTCAGGGCGCGCTGACAGATTCAAAGTTGCGGCAGGCGGCTTGGGCGCTGCACGGGAAGGCAAAGCGCACAGAGCACGTCCAGAAGTTTGCGACCCTGGCGAGTGCAACAGAAGTGCTGCAGGAAAACCTGAATTCAACGATCTAACTTTATTCATGAATCTGGACTAGGCATATGCCAGTTTCCCCTTGATGTAAGCTTACTGACTCTAGTTCGGGCTCATGCCTTTCCAACCTCCTTGTTCTTCGCTTGTCTTCCCTTCTTCATGGCCTCCATGGCTGGTAGTCCCCATTTCTTCATCCAAAGTGAGGATACGAGATCAGAAGCAGTCGCTCTTTCATTAGGAAGCCAGTGAAAGATGGATTCCAGAAGAGCCAACAAGTCTTCGAGCTCCTCGTCCATCACATGATCCGGATCATAACCGCGATCTTTCGGGAGCCAAACCTTCACCCGCCGTCTCAATGATGCTTTAGTTTCGTCGTCAATGGTTCCGCTTTCGTCCAAATCATCGTGGGCTACATCAATGTCGCCCTCATTGCTGTCCAACCCGTCCTTTTTCTTCGACAGATCCCACCATTGCTTTGGTGGCTTTCCAATCATTCCGACCGTTCTTGCGAAATTGACCTCGGGGTCATAATGCACCGTATCCAAAATGACCCTAACTCCAAACACCTGGTATATGAGACACCCGAGAGACCAGACATCTGCAGGTCGATCCATGGTGATGTTGAGTCTCTTCCCAAACAATGATTCGGGTGCTCGAAAGGGAGGCCACGTTGTAAGTTCGTGCTTCGTCTCCTGCGATGGTCTCCATGACTCGCTGAAGTCACCAATCATTACCTCTGCGCCCGGAAGCTCAATAGTATCGAATCCTCCTATGGCGTACAAGCTCGAAACGATGTATGGCGGCGCGTTATCGGGGATCGGGGGCTTCCTGAGAGTTGCTGCTTGGTACAAGTGCAGTGGAATTTTGGGAGGGCGATCGTATGATTTGTATATCTCTTCGATGGTCTTCGTTTCGAATGTCTGATCTGAATGTGCCAGTATGATATTGCCGGGGTGCAAATCTATCTTTCGGATCAGTCTGCTTTCGATTTAAATCCGTCGGAAGTACCCACCTCCATGAACGATGCCGATAGAATGCAAAGCGTCCAAACCGATGATGATTTGGGCCGTGATAGCTCGGGCTACTTCCGCAGGCAAAGCTCGTCTCTTTTTCATCCGTAACAGGCCTTGGGCAACTGTAAACGAAGCCGGCTTGCTCACGAGACAGCTGTGGGTTCCGTTGGGCCCTTGGTGGTGAAAGTGGTGTAGAAGGGTTTGCAGGTACTTGCGGCCAGTGTTTGGAATTTCGCTGCTTGAGATGAACTTGAGAACATCGGCTTCGTTTGACGACTTGGTAAATTGGGCTCCGGTAATCTTGATCGCGACATTGCAGTTCATCTTCTCGTCGTGCGCAAGCCACACCGTTGAAAAGCTTCCGCGGCCAAGCTTGTGGAAAATTGTGTATCTCCCATCGGCGAGTTGATCTCCAATACGGACTGGATGCAGCCCCCCTTCATGGTAATTTGCGTAGAATTCTTCTGGCTCGTCATCGTTCCAGACCAGGATGTCTAGTTCGTCCAAATCATCCTGCGTCCATGTCTCCCCAAAGGTGAAATCAATGTTCGGATGCCGCGACTTGGCTTCGACCTTGGCCGAAATTCTGCCGGGGCAAGAGCTGCCGGTGGACGTATCCATTGCCGCTGTGGTCGAGCATGAGGAATTGTCGGCCATCTTTCTGGCAGAAGCCGCCTGGCAGGAAAGAGATTGGAGATAAAAAATATGTTGAACACGGAGGTGAAATGAAATCCGAAGAAAACAGTAGGGTTCTTTGGGAATTTGAATCCTGTTGGGGAACGGAAATGCTGCAGTGAATGTGGGAAGCTAACGTGTGAGGTGAAGTCCACGTCGAACAAATTCTCACCCTTCAATTCAACGAGCCAGATTGCTTCATACCAAGCAGAGCACGGACCTGGTAAAAATGAAATGCAAGCCCGTTTTCACGCCTCTGTTTGGATGTAAGTTGGGACAAACAGAAGGTGCGAAGGGCACCAACAAAGCGAGGGTTCTTTCGAGGTAGGGCCCTTCGAGAACCTAAGGATTTCTTGGATTTAACTCTCATTGTGGTATCGGGAACGGGAGCTTACCAGAACGAATGCATAACAAGGAATGGCCATGCCAGGAAATGCTTTACTTGTCACAGGTGACCTAACTCGAAGCAATCGCTATTTCGGCCCGTTTAAACCACGGTCATACATTCAGACCAAGATTATCATAAAGCTTTCTGCTAACTAGTTATCTCCTGCCCATATCATGCCGAATGAGAGCTGCAAGGGCACGGTATCAATTGAATCAAAGGCTCTTATCTTGCTCATTCGTCCGTTCCTTGTGTATCCAAGACATCGTATTCTTTTCCGGATCAGGAGGTCAAGGGGCAACACATCCGTGAAACGATGCTTTGCAGGACTTCAGACCGACGTGGTCACCACGAGTCCTGAAGTACAAAATGCCGATGCTAGTCTCACGAAATGAGAGCTACACATTGATTAAACAACATCATCTAGCGACATACGACGACCAAGATGCACCCAGCGGATGAGAAATGGATCAAAGTCATGTTCAAGGTCAAACCAAATGACTCGAGAGTCAAAGGAACGAAGGACCAACTTCTCAAATCTCATTGGCAAACTGCGTGCAAAGCGTCTGGGGAGAAGCCAGAAGTGTTGCTTATCAGGTAGGTCATGCAGATTGTCACATTTGCGAGACCTGTATGCGCTTGTTCAATGTCGGACACGTTATTTCATTGTCTGACAAGCTAATCGAGTGCTTCTACTGCCAGGTCTGGACTTCATTTCAGTACAATTGCCAACTACGGACGAAACAACGAGCCGTTATTTCAAGATGATCTGCCTCATGTGACGGCATCCTGGAAAGTGAAGGAAAACGACAGTCACTTCTATACCGCTCATGGATACACTCGCGGTGCGGAAAACTTCGACGTCAGCGACACTTTTGGGGGACACAGGAAGATGCCCCTAGACGAAGAACCCACACGGGGCAGCTCATCTTGGGTCGAGGATGACCAAATTGCAGAGTGGTTCACCGAAGAGTATTTGGATGAGCTAGTGAGAGGATAAGATTGGAAAGGAAAATCCTTATTTAAACTTTGGTTTCTCCATGTTATCAAGAGTCACTTCCGTGTCATGAGTTAGGTAAAGGACAATTTAGTTGACCCGGATCTCTCCGATGTTGAATTATCTATCAAAAGGAAAGGCTGGCCTCTTGCCAGCTTGATACAAGCTCATGCAGGGTTTTACTCTGCAGTGTGTTTTCTCTTGTCAAGAACCAAAACGATCACCCAGAATATTTCGGCCGATACTCAAATGAGCTGTGTGAATGAGGTATACTGAAAAGTTGGAGGTGCATTGAAACCTTTCCAAAAATAGCAAAATAACAACATGCCTCTAAGAGCGATTCTCTGATATTGGAAATTTGTCATTAAATGCGTTGCCAGAGTGCGCCCATAACACGCACTCCCAGCGGGAATGCCAATTAGACAAACAATGATATAGCTCACAAGACTTTACGGATGAACCTGTTTGTGGTAAAGTGGCAATAATCATTTATCGTACCGAACAAAAGAGGCGCCCGTGCCAGATGAAACCTGATTCTATGCTCTAGGAAAACCAAACAACCCCCGTACCTTCATCCACCATGCTGTTGCGAACTCTGGCATAGTTACCCCAGACGCGGCGGCTTGCCATCTGCTTAAGCCTCCTTTCTCGGCAGTAGCTAGCTCTATTCGATCGATCGAGTCGATCTCCGACATGATGTTGCGGCTTTCTCCCCGAGCCTCATACATCGCCTGCAACGCTGGTAGCCCCCACCGTTTCATCCAATCTCCTCGTAGTAGCTCGTCTGCAGTGAGACGATCATCAGGCTCCCAGCAGAGAACTCCCTTGATGAGGCTATACAGGTCCTCAATTTCCTCATTTGTCATCTCATCCCGATGGGCATCTCCGATCCACCCACACACTCTCTCCTCCAGCAGGATATTCTCTCTGCATGGATAGGTTCCGTCTTCATCCCACTCTACGTCTCTTCTGAAGAACTCGTCCTTGGCCTCCCACAGGTCCCACCATCTTTGGGGCGGTTTGCCAAGGGTGTTGATCATGTCTTCGAGCATACCATCTGGATCTGGCGACCCCTCAAACAGGTGATTGCCAAAGATCTCGAATATTCCTACGCCAAGAGACCAGATATCTGACGGAAAGCCAATAGGAACATTTTCCTTCTCGGCGAAATTTGCTTCAGGGGCGCGATAGTTGTCAGGAGTGTTGAGCTGATATCGCGAACGCAAAGCTGGCTTCCAGGCCTCTCCAAAGTCGGTCAGGGTTAGTTTCGCATTTTGAAGCTCCAGTTCTGTGCTTCGGTCGCCGAACCAGATTTCCGGCACGATGTAGGGCGGAACACCGGCGGGGATCGGTTTGCCGTCGCGACGCTCAGTCATGGCTTTGATAGGCTCTCCATACTTATGGTAGAGATTCTCGGTTGACAAATGAGATAGGTCAGGTGGCGCAAGAAGAACGTTGTTCGGGGTAAAATCTGTTTCACGGTCAGCTTTGGCCTGATCTTGGCGGTCAAGCCTACTTACCTCCATGTACCACGCCATTTGAATGAAGAAAAGATAGCATGATGATCATTTGGGCGGCCATTGCTCGCGCCGCTTGGATTTTGAAGGTCCCAGTGCCATGGGACTCGTGCCTGCTTTGACCAATACTTATTCGATGAGGCAGACTCACGAAGCAGAGATGGCCACCATTGGGTCCATCATGACTGAAGGAGTCCAGACAAGACATGAGCATCAGTTTTCCAGGGTGATTGGTGGGAGTCTGATGGAGTTCACGGAGAAATTCGATTTCGATGCCGTAGTTGTGTGCTTCAGACTGTGACTGCTGCTCGGGGACCATTATCTTGAGCGCAACAAATTGGCCATATTTCTCATCGCGAGCAAGCCAGACGGTGCTGTAGCCTCCATGACCAAGTTTGTGAACGATAGTGTACCTTCCATTGGAAAATTGATCGCCAATTTCGACGGGGTGGTAGCTACCAGGAAAGTAATGTTGTGGTCGCTCTTCGTCTTCAGTCTCCCAGTGGAACGTGTAGTCGTCGACATCAACCATGTATGTGACCGTGCCTTCGTCTGGTGTGATTTTTTCCATAGTCAGTCAAGAAATTGTTTGGATGGTTTTGCTTCGCTGGTATCAAATGTGGTAGGTTTGCCGGAGACACATTTTAGTAGTTCAAGTGGGAAATATTTGGATTTATGTACTACTTATGCGATGGGACCTTCTGTGGGTCTGCCCAGACAAGGAAACCAAAGGGAAAATGTCTTTGTAAACAGAATGGGCGCCCTTGGGTTTGGTCGGACAAAAGAACCTTGGTATAACTTTGCCGATGAGTTGACACACGAAGCCCCTGGCATCTTCCTTTTTGTTTCCATACTTGAGCCGTGGTGGCCAAGTAATCTACAAAACACAGATGACTGTGAAAGCCCACAAAGTTATAATTCCACGACTGCTTCCAACCTATGTCTTTGTAAGGTAGCAGAGACTCGCTCCATCACGCGTCCCTTCTAGCACTTGAACTTGATTTATCAAAACTCACAGATGACACAATCCAATGTTGCGGCCTTCCCAGCGTCAGGAGGAACAAAACCATAGCATAATTTGGGATAGCACAATGGAGTTGTTCGAGACAATCCCTCCCACTGGTCAAACATCGAGTCTGGTGACGACGATGGTGATTTGCTTTCATCGGTATATAACGGGCTTCATCACGTAGATGTCTCAATTTGTTTTGGGCCACAAGATACAATAGTTACCAAAAAGCAATCAGAAAGAATACCATATCTGTCAGTATCAGCCGCGATGTCCTCTCCATCCTCATCCGACTCGAACTCACCAGACGTTGAAATTATCTGGAAATGCGAGAGGCCGAGGCGCACAGACAAATACGAGCGAGCTCTCAAAGCACATTGGCTGAATGCTCTGCATGGCCACGATGGGAAAGCGGACGATGTCAAAACGATTGTCATGCGGTTAGTACTTCCAGCGTTTGCGTTTGTGGTTTCATTTTTTCACGGGCGGCGGGACTGAGTTTGCTAATTGAGCCTTCACCAGATCTGGGCTACACAATACCAAGATGACCAAAACAGGGCCGGTGCCAGACGATTGGCACGTAACAACCTCATGGCCAGATACCGATTGTACGTTCTCCACAGCGCATGGGTACACGAAAGGCAGACAGAATTATGACGCGGTAAGGTCAACAGTAACTGTGAACATACCTCTTGACACCAAAAGAGATGGCAAGAATCTGTGGCCATCTGATTCCAAGTATCCCACGGAATTCTTGAGTGTGGACCACTTGAACAGTGTTTTAGAGAAGGACTTCTCTCATCTGGAAGAAGTTCATCCAGTCTCTAGAAGGCCAGTTACTTACAGGACTTCCAGAGATTGCAGGTAAGTCAACGAAGCCTGCGAGTGCTGACAATACAACAGGTTATGATGAAAGCAAGTATATTATCATGTGTTAAGGCCGGAGATAATGTTTCAAACCCAGGAAAAGATGTAGCGATTAGATAAATCTTATACTTCAAGCGCACTTTTGGCCATGACTTATAAGGAATCACCTAGCCGGATAATCGCCACGCAACAGCATTAGATACCAAGAGGGACAACGAGTCAATAAGTATGGGAAACTGCATCAGTGGCATATTGAATTTCACTCACATCGATATGTTCAATTTCGATTACATATATTGATGTTCAATCTTTTTAAAGCAGCATTCTGCCTCTCATTTACCTTGATTTTTAAGAACCCAATGAACAACATTAAGAACCCAACGTGGTATGTTGCAGGAAAGAACCTTGGCTTGACTTGATTACTTCAGCCCTGCCAATTCCCAAAAGCTTTTCTATTCAGTTATAACTGCGTCATGGATGCATTAAGTCTAGTTCCAGGGGAAGCTCTCATCATGTATGTTGAACGTATGTTAGACGCGAAACTAAGTAAATATACTTAGTGAGCCTTCTTCTTCTTCTTCTTCTTCTTCTTCTTCTTCTACCGCTGCGTGGGGAAAATAGTTGTACGCTGACTGAGGCAAGCAGTCCACAAGGCTATCAAGCTATATTTTGTCCCAAAAAGAAGTCCCGAGTTTGGCTCAGCAAGAGGATGATTCTTGTTCCAACGCAAGTCATATTCCAACAAATGCAAACAAACAAATACACATCGTGATTGAATTTCGTCTGGGTTTTACTTACAAATGAGAGAGTCCAAGTACGACTCATGGTGCATTCGCCGAGTGTACTTGGAATCGAGCGGTTCACCCGGCCATACTCTGGAGCCGTTTTTGTTTGTCGCTGTAATTGGAGCCGGCAATGGACAGGTTTTTGTTGTTCAATGAACATTGTAGTTTCCTTTGCCTGGTGTATATCCATGAGCGGTGATAAACTCATTTCCGTTTCTGAAAGAAGTGTTTATATGCCACTCGTCCTTGACGTATCCCGACTTTTGGACGGGAAAGTTGCGTGGTATGAAAGTCATTTTCGTTGAATTGTGAAGATCAGACCTAAAACTGGTTAGAATGTTGCCTAATTACCATGTTATATGAAACCGAGACTCACCTAATTAGCATCGAATCGCATGAATACTGGTTATCAGTGACTGTTTTCCAATGGGCTCCCAATAGTGCAGTGGCATGAGATTCATCTGGTGGTATACCAATCTTCCAAATGACCTCTATCATTCCCAATTTGGGGTTTTCGGTTGTCATAGCTTGGATTTCGTGTTCGATTGCCTGTTCTGTTACTCGAGAGATCGAATTGGCGGTACGCTGTGTGTTGATGGTTAGTAGTTTTCGAACACCATGGCTTCTTATTTAATAGCCCCTTCTGTGTGATGATCGTTACTCACGAGCCGTGCTTACATGTATTTTAAAAAATGAGATTGTGTTGATCGAGCTATATTTGTCGAGTATTGACAGCGATCGCATCATCTTCTCGAGATTCTTGCTTAAAAGAATCTTCCGGGCCAAAAAGGCGTCGACGGGTGCAGCAAAGGAATCGGATCCTGAACAGCATGACCCATTGAATCTTTGCCCAACTCTCTTTGTGTGTTGAATAGCCAATGATTTCATGCATATCAACTGTCCACGCTATTCATCCTCTCGTAGTCTATTTTTGGTTTCCTTTCATTAGTCCTTCAATGCGTCTGCTTTTCGGCTGTCCGCAAAAAGAGAACCTTGCTCGCTACTTTGATTGGAAGCCAGGACCTGCTCTTGAGACGCTTTTCTTTGTACCAAAGTTTCTGACTCCCTTGCATTTACTTTGTGTTCTTCAAGACCTTTGGCTTTTTATATCCAATGGCTTCCATGTGGCTTTGAAACAGAAGCTGGACACATAAGTGTGAGCTCGCGGGCGCCTTGCGAACATCTTAAGTTTAGTTCAGCCCTCTTGATATGGATACAACCTGACTCCTACACCTCTTGCACCTCTTTTCATTCCGCACCACGATCTTTAGTCGCAATGGGCTCCATTCATTCCGTCGTGGCTAAGCTTCCACAAGGCCGGAATGCCGCAGATGCTGAGCGTATCTCTTCAAACTATGTCCCTTCCGAGAAGGATACTTTGGTCTCTCTTTTGGCAGCTCGCGAGCCGTACTCCCAGGAAGATCTGAATATGATGCAGATCCTCCTCTACAACGATGATGAGCCCGATGAACGGTACTGGTTCTACCAAGAAGGCTTTCTCCATCCAGTTCAACTGGGAGATCAGCTTTCTGATGGGAGGTACACCATCATCAATAAACTAGGGAACGGATCGTTCTCGACTGTATGGCTTGCACACGACGAAGTTCTGAGTCGAAAGGTCGCTATCAAGATTGCGTGTGCAGAGGCCCAACGCGAATCCGATGAATTCCCTTCTAACGAGCATGGAATCCTTCAACGACTGCGAGGAAACCCTGCATCACACCCAGGCGCAGAAGTTATTCACCCCTGTCTGGACACTTTCACGATGCAAGGACCAAACGGAAGGCATCGCTGGTTTGTCAGCGACCCAACTTGTATCAATCTCTCACAAAGCAAATTCAGGAGCGAACCAAACTGGTTATTCCGTCTTAGCGTTGCTCGAGCTCTGGTTGCACAGCTCATACGGGGCGTTGCGTATATGCACTCCCAAGGAGTTGTTCACGGAGGCAAGTCCCATACCAACCATCGATTGTCATTCCCTGGAAGGAAGCAAGGCTAACACTTCGTTCAGACTTACACAGCGGAAATCTGCTGCTAGCGTTACCAGATGAAGAGCTATCGAAGCGCAGTGTTCGAGACCTCTACACCAGCTTCGGCTTGCCGCAACAGTATCCAGTAGACATTTGCAAGAAGGTCAGCGACTTTGACGAACCCATCCCAGAAAATGCGCCACCTTACCTGGTGGGTAAGATGTACTTCAACGACAAACATGCCCACAAATTGCGTCTTTATGATGCAAAGCTCCGGATTAGTGACTTCGGGGAATCATGGAGACCCGCTGAGCATGATAGGTATGAACTCAATATACCAGAGCAATCTCGCGCTCCTGAGGCATTGGTTGCAGAGAAGCTTCGCAATGCCTATTGGGTTTCCTGCAGATGTGTGGGCTTTGGGCTGCATTATCGTCGAGCTCTATGCGCGTTACAGCGTCTTCCAAACCTATTTTCCTAGGTTCGAAGAGGTTTGGGCCGAAATGGTCCATGTTCTTGGCAAGCCCCCACAGACATGGTTGGAAGCTTCGAAGGCGGACATCGACTCCGGTAACAATGACAACGGCTCGAACCTCGACAACGAGACGCCTCGGCACAGAGATCCCACCTCTCTTTCGGACCACATTGTGCAGCTCGTAGACAAGGATAGATCAGAGAAGCTGGTTGGAATTTGGGAAGACGCGGATGAAGATGAGAATGTCCCAGCAGGAGAGTTGCGAGATCTGCTCTCCATGCTGGAGCAGATTTTCTGCTGGCTTCCAGAGGACGGAATCAAAGCAGACGATCTCATGAACGGGGATTGGATGAAAAATTGGGGGCTGCCAGCGATTGAAGCGATGGAGAAAGCCTACGAAGAAAAGGCGCAAGTCACGAAGCAGACCTCTGCCAGTTCGGGCTCTGGTTCAGCAAGCAACACCATGCACCATGGCAAGACGGATAGCCCAGTAAACGAGACATGGCTTGGGGTCATTCGTGGACTTTTCAAGACAGCTAGATGGGGGCTGGGAACGGGCGTTTGGTTGTGGCTTGGGCGAGCGCTTGGGATTTGATTTGGCTCGATCGAAGGATGTACCAAAAAGGGAGATCGGTTACAGTAATTTGATTTAATGCATTTCCGAACGGCCTTTTTTCTCAATGTCAACCAACGCAGGGGACTTCAATCGCAACATGTATTGTGCTCTGTTTCTAGTCTTAGCCAACCCGCACTGTTCAACTAGGGATTCGAGCCATTTTTGCATCCCGTGTCGGTGGCTTTGCTGCTGAAATCTCCGACAAGCTGCAATCTCGATTCATCGCCATGTTTGTTCTTGTATTCGCGGCTGTACAACAACGAAGACGGAATGTTGGTTCGTTTCTTGTGGGTGTCATCCTGACTCAGCAAGTCAGGTGATAAAACCACATATTGGCGGGGAGACACCTACTGTACACGAAGAGCACATCAATGCAACAAAGCTGTATTGGTCAGTTTCCACTTCCACTCCTAATGCAATGGAACATCATACTTCATTTCTATGTTCGGCCTGTAAACAAGTCATTCAAGCTCAAGACAGCTTACGATCTAAACACATTCTGTTTGATAACGTCGAAAAGCTATGGGTCATTACCCCTGAAGGCCAAAGCTTCGAGAACTTCAGGAGGGCGGCTTCAAACAATTGCTTCATTTGCTCCACAATATGGGATCATGACCTTCTCTTTGTTGCACCAGAACTATGGGCGACCGTCTGGAAGCCAATCAAATTCCAAATCCTCCGGCACAAGAATACGACGCGTGTTGATATTGCTCAAACCGTGGATCAGACGGTTGTTGTGGCGTTTCGACACCCAAACTTCTGGTCTGGCACAGCCGACGTGCATATCATGATTCATTTGGATCGCATTAAAGGTAGACTGCATGCCAATTTCAAGCGTACCGCTGCTGAGACTTCCACACAGATAGCCCTTTACCAGAGTCTCCAATGATTATGGCAGGCAGCACTGCCTCCCCTTCATCGCTGAACCAGGCTCTCAATTGGTTTAAGAAATGCAAAACAAATCATGGAAAATGTCGAAGCCCCCCAACGGCACGACCAGGATGGCTACCGACTCGCCTTGTCGACATTGGTATTCTAGGCGAACCTGACTGGAAGCTTCGAATAACGAAGGACCTAGACAAGACATCTCCGTTGGAATATATGACTCTGAGTTACCGCTGGGCACCTAACCCTGAGCATTTACTACTATCTGAAAATATTCACGACCTTCAAGCCGGCTGGCCGGTAGAAACATTACCCCAGACCTTCCAGGATTTCATACTCGTCGCCCGTCAGTTTGGGGTCCGATACGTATGGATCGACCGTCTGTGCATCATCCAAGATGACGATACGGATTGGAAAACGGAGGCACCGATGATGGCTAGTGTGTACAGCAACTCGATGTGCAACATTTGTGCATCTGCTTCAGATGGTCCAGAAGGAGGGCTTTTTCGACATCGTGCAGCCGAAGGCATCGCACCGGGTATCGTGGACACAACTTTGACCATAGCGCCAACACCCTCTCCAGTGCGGTGTTACATATACCGACGGAGGTACTGGGATGATCACTTGCCAGAGTCTCCGTTGCATTTCCGCGGTTGGGTTTATCAAGAGTGTTTTTCGCATCGCGGATCGTCTACTTCGCGCCTCAACAAATCATGTGGGAGTGTCTCCAAGAGAGCGGATGTGAAGGTTTTCCGAGAGGAGATGTCAACCCATATCCAGCCGATCATATGAAGGGATTCAAGACTCTGGGAAGCCTGGCAGATCTCGTATCAGGCCCAACGGGGTTCATGACGACCGAATTGCTCAACGCCTGGGAGGTTTCTGTTGAGTCTTACTCGCGTTGTCAGCTTACAAGATCCGAAGATAAGCTTTACGCATTTTCGGGACTTTCAAAGCTCTTCCAGCAAGCCACCGGCGACAGGTTTCTGGCAGGCATGTGGCAATCGGTAATTGTGAACCAGCTGTGCTGGTACACGCACGGAAACTTACGAAGCCCGTCAGAATATCGAGCGCCTTCCTGGTCCTGGGCTTCCGTCGATGGCCCGGTCTTCTCGCGTTCCGGCGACAGCCTTCTAGGCGGAGAAAAGATGGTTAAAGTGATTGACTTGGATGTCAACACGGAGGGCCCAGACTCAACAGTCGAAGTGAAGAGTGGATTCCTTCGCCTGAGAGGCACTATGTTCATCACGTATTGCTGGACAGACTACGGCGATCTTGGAGGGGGAGTGGCAGTGGGTGAGTATCTTGGGCGTCGCGGTGATAAAAGCAGAAACTTGATGCTCTTTCCGGATACCACTGATAGAGTGCTCCAACAAGTAGGGAAGATGATACTGCTGCCAGTTATGAGATTTGCTACCGGAGTCGAAAACTCGGCGCCGGCTCATGTGCCGCGCCACCATGTCGGGTGCTTGGTATTGAGCCCCTGGAAGCACCCTACAATGGGAGATGTTTACCAGAGATCTGGTTATGTCTTTACCAAAGACGTCTTCTGGAATGCAGCACCGGCTGTTGCAGATGGGGTTTTGTTTGATAGCATTGTAGAAAATGCCGAAGTAACCATCATATGAGCCCCCAATTCATTTTATGCCGCGGGCCAACATGCAATCATTCGTGCCTCAACTTAGAAAGTTTCGCTTTTTTAATTCAGCTTTCAGCCTTTCATCAATTCCTTCGAGAATGGATGTATCGTTCGTCGTAATGACATCGGGTGATACCTTATGCATTGACGTCCTGTTGGGAATATGTACGAAGTACACAAATTTCTTCACGAGAATAGAAACCGTAAACAAAACGCCTGCGAGTACAGCAACGGCCTTTGGTAGCATCGCGATTGGCTACCAAGGAAAGCCGTTGGTTCCAGCTGGCCAACAGTGCGTTACGGTGGCTTTCAGCTTGACAGCTTTAGAAAAGAGTGCAAGAAAGAAATCAATTGTTCCACGAAACAGAAATACGCGCAAGCTTTGAGAGGAGTCTTGAGTTGACGCCCTGATTGGTCGCAATACGAGGGTCGATACACGAGACTAAGGCCAGGCCGACTGAGCAGCTTCTTTGGATTTGTTTGTTCAAGAATCGCAACGCAAGACATTCAGAGCCGAGGTCAGGTGCCATCCATTCACACAAGCTACAAAAGAGCATCGCCAGGCGTGGTTGGGCTTGGCGTTCGCGGGGTAGAAAGCGAGCTGTCAAGGCTTGACAGTCGAGCTGCCGCTCAAGCGAAGTGTGTGTCTGTGGCCTCCCTGAGTAAGAAAACCAGACGAACCATCAGTGGTTTGAGTCACTGTGGTCCCCTAATAGTCTAGGCCCAAAACGGATGGTCTCCGGGCGTCCGGCGGCCGAATTCGAGCTTAAGTCCGGTCTGTCTCACACCTGCATCCTATCAATCCCACCGGACCAAACCCTAGGTGAGGATTTTTCTGCTCAGAAGACGAGGGCGGCGGCGGCGTCCGTCTGACGCAGCATGCCGTCACCCAAGAGCCAACCACGCAAGAAGGAATTTGTGGTAGGGATTACTCACAGAGTCACAGTTCCTGCATCGGCGGACGGAGTGGAGTAGAGCCAAGTCCGACCCGGGGCCGGGGTGGAGTTGTGAATAGGGTAGAATGGGGCCCTTTTAAGATTTGCAGATCCAATACTGAGTCTGGAATGTTTCTTGCTGCCTGAACATCTTGTGCAAGTTATGCAGAATTGCCATGTCTTTTGAGAGGCATGCAATGCACAGGATACGAGCACAAGTCATTGACTGGATCCAATGCCTTGCATGACATTAATCAGCTACAAGCAATAGCCCGAGCTTAGTGCTGCATTATTAACTCCCGCCACGGTCAGAAAACGCGGGGTTCGGCTCGGGAGGCTTGGGGGGATGATCACTTCTCTTTAGGACACCCATCCATGTCCCTCCTTACCGCTGCCGGGCTAGACACCAAACACGCTCCACGTCCAACGTGGTGTTGGTCCGTACTTTTTGGAGTCGTGTGGAGACGGGAGGATCACCAGCCTTGTCCTCCAGGGAACCTTTTCACCCCGAGGTCGGCGGCGCGACTCACAGTCATTTGCGACGGTCAAAAAAGTAGGTGACGAAATAAAAGCTGGCTGCGACCCTGGCAGGATCGTCGTCAGTCTTGTTTGCGCCGCACCCTTTTGCTCCTTCACCTGTCTCTTGCCAGTCATCCGCCGCGTTCTGTGTGTCGCGCGCGCCTCTACTGGTTGCAGAGAGTTCAATTGAGTCCAGCTTCTTAGAGTCGACGGCCCCGAAGATGCAGTACGACAAGGAGAACAAGCCGGCCGAGTCGCCGTCGCGCTCCCTCGAGCATGCGACGGATCTTGACCGCCCCGGCTATGGCGACGAGCACGTCGAGTGTCCCCCTCACACGACTGAGAGCAAGCTCGTCAGCAAGATTGTGAGTTCTTCCTGTCGAAACATTACCATGTGAATACTGACCTGGTCAGGACATGAGGGTCATTCCCTTCCTCTGCGTCATGTACCTGCTAGCTTTCCTCGGTAAGAAGCTCACTTTCCCCACCCGCGCATCCAGCCACGATCGCAACTCCAATGCTAATCGCCATTTGCTTTCGCAGACCGAGTGAACATCGCCAATGCGAACGTCTTCGGCCTCAGCACGGAACTGAACCTGAATGGCACCCTCTACAACAATGCGCTTGTCGTCTTCTTCGTGCCCTACATCCTCTTGGAGATTCCCTCCAACATCCTCCTGAAGAAGTTCAAGCCGCACGTTTGGTTGAGCATCAACATGTTTGGATTTGGTCTCGTCACCATGCTCCAGGGCTTCGTAACAAACTACGCTGGACTCTGCACCACCCGGTTTTTTTTGGGAGTCTTCGAGACGGGCATGTTTCCGGGCGCCTTCTACCTCATCGGCATGTGGTACCGGCGCCACGAGGCGCAGAGGAGATACTCGTTCTTCTTCAACAGCACCACTCTCGCAGGAGCCTTCGGCGGTCTCCTCGCTGCAGCGATCGGAAAGATGAGTGGCATCCGCGGCTACGCTGGATGGCGCTGGATCTTCATCCTCGAAGGCCTGTTGACCGTCATTGTCAGCTTCTTCTTCTACTTTTGGCTTCCCGACTTCCCCGAAGAGGTCAAGTGGCTCACCGACGACGAAAAGGCGTTTGTCTCGGCCCGCCTCCGCGCCGATCAGGGGCGTTCCGCCGTGGAGCGCAGCACAACCCTCAAGGATGTCGGCAACATCTTCAAAGATTATAAGGTCATTGTCGGAGGCTTCATGTACTTCGGCCTGATTGTGCCCGCTTATGGCTACGCCTACTTCGCGCCTGGCATTATTCAGACGTACGGCTACGACAGCATCCAGACCCAGCTGCACAGCGTCCCTCCCTGGGCTGTGGCGTTTGTTTTCTCGATGATTATCGCCTTCATCTCTGACAAGACGCGCCACCGATTCCTCTTCGCCATCTTCGCTATCTGCGTCGCCATGGCTGGTTTTGCGATCTTGATCTCCGTGCATAACAACACCTCCGTACAATACGCGTCTCTATTCCTAGTGGCGATGGGTTCTTACACAGCCATGCCCATCATTGTGTGTTGGTTCAACATGAACTTGGGAGGCCATCACCGCCGCTCGATTGGCAGTGCTTGGCAAGTTGGCTTCGGTAACATTGGTGGAATCATTGCCGTCTTTGCCTTCCTGAAGAAGGACGCACCAAAGTACATCCCCGGATACAGCATCTGCATTGCCTTCGTCATTTTGAGTGGTCTTGCGTGTCTCATCTACGCGATCGCATGCTGGTCTGCAAACAAGAGCAGGGATCGGGCTGCCGGACAATCTACGTTGTCAGAGGAGGAGAAGACTGAGTTGGGAGATCTGTCTCCTGATTATAGATACCTGTTGTAGATGATATTCCGGGGTCTTGGGCGGTTGTTGGCTTGTGGCAGGACAAGCCATCTGTTTACACGAAAAGTAGAACCCAGCACTTACCCAGTGCTTTAATGAAGAATGCGTATTCAAGTTTGATGCATTACTAAGCGTTACTCTGCTAGTAAACTGGTGCGAACGCCATGTAATAAGTGCCCAAAACTTAGGCGCATGAGACGCGGCCCTTGACCCATCTGTATCTCCGGACATGGCTCCATCTCTACGGCGTCCTCGGCCTTAAATGTGGGCACCTGTGTCCGCAGCCTCCGGACTTAACTAGCACATGAGGCCAACCCGGTCTGAAAACAAGGGGACATAGTAGAACCGGGTCCAGAATTCGTCCAATGTCCGGAGGGCCAAGTAACGTCAACTGATTAAAGTTTGGATCCGCATTCGTTATTCGCCAGAATCTGGGCGACGTTCAAGCTTGATCTGGATAGTTCCTGCCGCGCGGAAGCTACCCCTGTGATTCACCGGAGCCACCCGCAAGCCGGAGCAGGCAGGACAAGAATCCAAGATGTTTAAATTAACTTGGCCTTAGTAACCCTTGCAATCACCAACATTCAGCGTGCCATGTTCACCAGCATAGCCTTCGACATAGTCACAATCTTCTGGAAATCAGGTGTCGCTAGAATACCGAAGCTACGGTAGCCTTCTTGGCATTCGAGACGGGATTAGAAATCCGTCTTCAACTTACTCCTGACCAAGGACTCAGGGGCTAGGTGCTCTACATCATGTATTCAAGCTCGTCAGAGCATCAGACATTGGACGAACCATTGCCTCGTCCCTTATGCCTCTTGTCCTCGAGACTGTCAAGATGTTTGTTTCTCAACTTAGTCTAACTGTCTTGCTCTTTTCCGGCTTTGCTTTTGGTCATCGACTGCACCACCGCCAAAATGACAGCGTCGAAGATCCTGTCGCACTTCTTTCTCGAGGGATTGAAGCCCTTGGTGGCCAAGATGTTATCGATTCCATAAGCAGCTTGTCGTACTATGGCGAAACGTAAGTCGAGTGCGTGCCTTCAGTGATGGGTGACAATTCATTAACCAAACATAGGATTCTTCGCGCCAGGACCCTGATGATGGGAATCTCTCTCACTGGAGTGGATAATGCAGCTGTCACTGCTGGCCGACAAAACGTGACATTTTCCTTTGATGGGAACAACGTCCGGCAACGCATCGATAAGGTCGCCGCTCTTGGCCGTAAGTAATGGTTTATATCCGGTCAGCCGTTGATTCTTGCTAAGATCTCACAGCTGGATGGACATTTGGGAGAGCCAATCTCAGTCCTATGGACTTCTCATTGATCGTTAACGGCGGTGAGACTGGTTTTGCCGCTGTTGTTAGGGGAAGCTACGACCTTTACAATCCTACTGGAGATCCCCAGGGATACCTAGACGGTAAGCCACTCAAGCTTTCCCCCATACCATTACCATAGGCACAACTAATAAGAATCTTTGCATCAGGTCTTCTTGCATCGTATTTGATCAGCGAGGCATATAAGTGGCAACCGTTACTTCTCTCGACGGTATGGCAGATTTGCGATACTTGCTAGCACTCACTAATGTTAGCAGATTCTGTCTAACAATAAGTTTACCTATCGCTCAGGGGCCTCGGAAGCCGGTGTTGAGCTCCACGGTGGTGAGTCCTGCTAATCATTTTTTTTCCTCATTGCTGCTCGGGCCTTCCAGCTGACAACAAGTAGTCCATGACGATTCACTTAAATTAACGGTTCTTTTCAATCCCGATACCAATTTACCGTACATCATCCGGTCCTACGAAGATCACCCCTTTTTTGGTGCCTCGACACACGATCTCCTTGTTTACGACTACACGGAGGTTGATGGCGTTCAGGCCCCGCAGCGATTCAAGACGATCTACAACGGAAAGCATCTCATTGCGGATTATCGTGCTGATCAGATTCTGGTTAATCCTGCCATCTCTGAAGACTTATTCACGTTACCAGGGAACGCGACGATCCCTCAGGCTAGTGTGCCCGTGCGGGACGCACAATATGACTTTTCTGAGATTGGCGAGACATCCGCCAACTTCCTTTGGCCGGGAGCATACACAGGAACTCCTGAGATCATCGAGTCGGCAGCTTCCAGGCCTTTTAATGATCTGCCCGGCTTATGGGTGATCAGTCCCGAAGGGGCCTTGGCCATGCGACAAGCCGTAGTGGAGCTTGAAGACGGATCTGTCATCGTGCTGGATGCTCCTCCTCACCAAAGCAAGCTCGTCATTGAATGGGCTCAAGCTCGCCTCGGGAAGAACATCACTCACGTTTGGGTTCGTATTCCCAGACAAGCCAAGATTCTCTGCTCGATACTAACGTTCTCCAGCCCACCCATCATCATCATGATCACGCCTTTGGTGTTGTGGACTACGTCGCCAGTGGCGCAAAGCTCATCGTACCTGACCATGCAGCCAGCTACTACACCACTGTGCCCCAAGACCAGATCGTAACCTACAGGTATGCAATTTCCCTTTGAGCGAAGAAGACTGGGCTGAATCATGCAAAAGCCGAAGCGGCTCTCTCGTTCTGAAGGACAGCCGAATACAGTTGGCCCTCGTCGATATGGATGCGACTGTACATGCTGAAGATCACGGCTACGCTCTCGTCCTTCCGGCGTGTCCTACCAGCGACAGTAATACGGCTGTCTTTGACGCAGACCATGGAAACTTGGCCTTCCTGGAGACTTTTGATCATGCAGCAGTACACGAGCTGTTGGCATCTCTGGCTAGCGATGGCGTCGCCACTAATGCTCAGTAAGTACCGCATCACAGTTTCAACCACGTACAGTCTCAAGAGAAAACTGACATTTGTAATGTAGTTTTCTCCCATCTCATGGTCCTGCCGGCAATATCACCGACATGATTCAGGTTGCAGGGTTTTTATATCCATCGCTGTCGCCGTCAGATTTTGTGCATAGTGAAGCAGCCTGCTAAGCGACCCACAATACCTGCCGTCTGGGCACAAACATTCAGCGCACTGTCAGTGCTCTGAGCGTGCGACACCATGGGAGCCCGCGAAGTGGATGAGTGGGCTTGAGATACATTGATACTGCAGCCGCCAGACTAATTTAGTGATACTCTTTACTTGTTGGTCATTGGTCGATTCTGTGAATAGTCTAGCATGCGGTTTGCAAGACACGCGCGCACATGCTTCCGTGAACACAAATGTGAAATTCGTACCGGTCGACTTTGTAAATTGCGTCTACTAGATTTACCTGACAGTCTCCAGAACAGAATTGAATGAAAATCACGAAAGCGATAAACTGAATTTCAGCGAAATAAGACTCACGTAGTATCTAGTTCGGGCTGGTACTAGGCGACTTGGGAAAGTCTCTACGCCGTCTGCTTAGTGTAGAGCTCGCTTACATCGTACTCAAACCAGAGCGCTGTTCGGGACGCAGGATTGAAGTTGAAGATACAGAAAACCCCTCAAGTTATGAGTCACCAACCAAACGAATGTCTTAAGAAATATTTCCGTGGGCCAGCAATAACTTTCATCCGTTCTCAGTACGTCATCTATTTATGCCCAATGCTGACTTGCGATCTTATCACGAGTTTACCCCACCATTCATTCACTCGCTACTACAACGCTTTGTCCTGATTAAGGCCAGCTCAGCCTTAAATCCCATCATGACTCAATCTCCCGACTACAAAATTCTTAAGCGATGCGTCGAACTTGCTAAGGAAGCACTGGATGCCGGGGACGATCCATTCGGCTCCGTCCTCGTAGGTGCTGACGGGACTATCATCCGCGAAGACCGCAACCGCACACAGACCGGCGAGAACGGTGACGGCAAGCCGGATGCAACCCTGCATCCCGAGTTCACCCTGGCGCGATGGGCGCAACTCAACCTCAGCGCTGAGGAGAGAGCCAAGGCGTCTGTCTACACATCTGGGGAGCACTGCCCCATGTGTGCTGCGGCACATGCCTGGGTGGGCTTAGGGCCGATTGTCTATGTGTCGTCAACAGAACAATATGCATCATGGCTGGAAGAATTTGGGCTTGCAGCTGGCAAGAAGGTGGCGGCACTTCCTATCAGCCAGGTCGCTCCCAACACCCCGGTTCAAGGGCCGATCCCAGGGCTTGCGGAAGAAGTGAAGGCCCTCCACCAAAAGAAGCATGCCAAGTAAGAGTCCTGAGACTGAAGCATGCCAATTATGTCGATTGGATGCTTTTGTGAAGGCGAGTTTGGTTAGGAAGCTGTGTCTATGTCAAGAGCCGAAGCGGAGGATGTGAAAAAAGGAATGGAGTGGGAGATTATGCCTTGTTATCAGCATAGTCTTGGATTTAGGTATTTACTGGAATCAACTTAATTCCAACGGAGTCATTCATTCAGGCCAGGTATCACATGTGTGAATGAGTGGAACGGAGACTAGGTGTGCTCTCAGCCTGCGAGGTTGAAGAAATTCATTGCCCATAGATGCGATTCTTTGCGACGGCTAAAACATGCCAGAAGCAAAAGCAGCTAAGATCCATATGACTGAGCTCATCAGACATCCAACCTTTGACCTAGACCAACACTCTGGTCCTTGCCCTTGGATAAGCGTTCAACTCTCCCCACCCTCTCTCAATATGCAGCCTTTTTGTCATCTCGCAGATAGATACGCTGAACGCTTTGCATGCGAATGCCGCGAGCTTCCGCGATAGTCCCATGCTTCCGACCTCCGAATCGACTCAGTGACTTCTCTCGCTTTTCAAAGTCATACACCGCCTGATCCAGCATCTTGTCTTCAATGACAGCGTACTCATCATATTCCTCAATGAAGCCCTCGGGATCTGACGTGGGAATCTCAGTTGGAACATCGTCAATGACGTTTTCGGCTTCGCTCTCTTCGAAGTCCGCATCATATTCGGCGGAGGCATCATACGCGGGTTCAACGTTTTGATCCTTTGATGCAGGAGTTTTGGTGTTTTGCGTAGCGTTCTCCTTGGTGTCCTCGCTTGATTTTGGCTTGGCGAGAACTTTCTTGGTGCGCTTGGGGACGACGAGTGTCCAGGCGCCGGCGTCGGGGCTCTTGGGTTCGTCCATTGTGGCTTTTGAAGAAGTCTGAGTTGAAAGTACTGATGTGAGAATGAAGATGGTCGGCCGAGCTGATTTTTATTGGGCATATCGCAGCTCACCCATGGGAGATGATGAGCGGCGGTTGCGACATTTATGTCTTTGGCCGGCGTAACTATAATTGTCGCGAGCATTGTTTGTGTGGTGTGTTGTCGAAAGATCTGGAGATTTCCCTAGAAGGGACTGCTTGACTTGGTCGACAAAGAAAACACAACAATGGACTATCCGATGATTGCACACCAGTTGTGAACAAGAACGACAATGGGGGCCACTGGTGGACGTCAGGTTGCTCTGGGGCTCAGCAAGGGAACGGTCACAATGGCTGTTTCCATGCCTTTGACTGATCGTTCTACTGTTCAAAATTGCCATCCCTATCAATAATAGAAGTTTGAATTCCTCGAACCTAACTAAGGTCATGTGGCCTTGGCTAGCTTTTGTGATTCTGCGATTCTGCCTTGGTGCTTGGTGGCTGTGATCGGCAGAAGCTTTCATTGGACTGCTTTGAACGCTGTTGACAAGGAATTGTCTCATACAAACCTTCCTGCGCTTTTCGGCCACCAATCACAGGAACAACCCTGAAATCAGAGAGTTCTGCTTTTGACTTATTCTGTGCTTTCACTGGTTTGTGTTGTTACGCCCACTTGTAAGGTTGATGCCAAACTAATGTCGAGGCCATGATATGATTTCTGGCGGTATGAGACATGTGACTCATTTGAAACTTGGAGCATGATTGAGATATTGATTCTTTGCCTAATCTTTGTATTGAACCAATCCGCCAACATAAAACCATAGCCTGAAAAGAGCGGGAGTTTATAGCACATTTAGTTGAGCAACAGGCTTTTTACCCGATCTCCTCGACATTTTCTCTTCGGCATTTGCCTCTGAGGAAATTTGAAATCTGCATCCTGAAAGCTTCTCTTTAAAGACCCATTACCTCTGTTGTCTTCGTAGTCGCCGTCGTCATCGGTACTTTCATCGTTGTCCGAAAGGCTCCCATCAGATTCCTCAAAGTCTTCGTCCCCAGAATCATCGCTGTAGTACTCTTCGTTATTCTGACTTTCCAATGGCTTCACCCTCCTCCAAGGTGCTTCCGTAACCAAACATTGTTGACATTTGAAATCGGCATCGTTCTCTCGGAAGTAGACCCTGCTGCAAGTCGTATGCTTGCGCGTTTGTGTCTGGTTGCAGGAAACAAGTTTGCGATCAAAGAACTGGCCGCACGCCTGGCACTGGTTGTCTTTCCAAATGAAATGACACATATTGGTGTTGAAAAAGGTTGTTGTTTGTTCAATATCGTTTTCTGCTCGATAATAGACACACTTTGCGTGATGAGACGGAATGAGAAACAAGAAGTTGGACATGGCTTTACAGGTAAGCCGGGCTCCTCGCGACATTTCTAGTCATCTTGGTCACTCGTGGTCCTGAGAGTATGAAGACGGTTCGAGATGCATTCAGAACTGCCCGCTTTGACGCCTTGACAATCGCTGAATCACAACAAAGCAGTTGCATCAGGCTCATTCACCAAGACAGCCTGCATGTTGAATGGATCCCAAGCCTCAATTCACTTGAGCTCTTTGAGACTTGCCTCAAGATATAAAGGATCATTGTGCCTATTGTTGGCTTCGTTCGATCGACCTCCATTTCAAAAGATTTCGAAACCACACTTCCCTGCGCAAGATCGCGAAAGAACCAGTCAGGATCTCTATCTGGCAATTGCTATTTGCATCTTGAAACATCCGCAAAGTCACTCCTCGAAGATGTGTTATTTCGTTCTCCACTCGGTCGACTGCACCAGCTGCGGCACCAGCTACACGACGCGCCATGAGCGTCGAACAAGCAACCACAGCCCTGGAACATGCTGCTCGCGCCACCCTTGTGGTCAGATTTTGAGTGAAACTGTGCAAGGCGAAGTAATGAAACTCGGACTTTGCCCCAGATGCCGTCAGTACGAAGGCAGGAGAGGAAGACGGAATCTCGGCTGAGCTTCATAAAGCATTGGTTCCAATAGCTCACTCCAGTCACATTGCAATACCGATCGCTTAGATATTTTTACAGACAGTCAATGAGTAAATCTTCTCGCTATAGTATGCAAATGATTTCCGCTGTTCAGTGAGCAGTATAAAAAGCTTCAGAAATAATCTACTAAACTCGGTTGGTCGAAATGTTGATGACACTGCGATTGCACAGCCAATGTTTTCCATCGCAGCTTCCCACGGCTTCTTTGGAATGCAATGGCCCATTGCTTAGTCCTGTCTTACCTCATTGTCATTCGTTGATGTCCAATCGCAGTGTGCCTTGGGCTATTTAATGAACTTTCGCTCCCGGATCGGCAGGAGCTTATGCGCCACTGTAAGCTTCATGCCTCTGATACAACATGAATTTTACTGGCGCAATCGGCTGATCATTCACTGCTCAAGCCCCGTTTCGTATCCCCGCTTCTTGCAGTTCAACAATTACCTCCTTTCATTGACTGACGAGAGCAAATCGCCCATACATCTGATTGTCAATAATATGGTTCTCATCAAAGTGGTCGAGAGGTCAGTCCCCTTTCCTCATCCATCATTTCCTGAGGACTCGAACCCTCAAACTGCCTATCGTACTCTCGGCGACCTGTCTGCAGGTAAGCCGCTTGTCGCACTTCACGGCGGTCCCGGGATTCCACACGTTTATCTGGCCCCTCTTTTCACGTATTACCACAAACAAACCAAGACTCCCGTGATTCTGTATGATCAAATCGGTTGCGGCAAATCGACGCATTACCCGGAGAAGCAGGGCGATGAGTCTTTCTGGACTGTGTCGCTCTTTGTCTCCGAGCTCGAGAACTTGCTGGCCCGCCTCGGCGTCGACAAATTTGACCTCTACGGTCACTCATGGGGTGGCATGCTTGCGGCTGTCATCGCGACAGAATCGGCATCGCCAGTTCTGGCGCCAAAGATTGAGAAGCTGATATTGGCCAGCAGCCCCGCGAGTATGAAGTTGTGGGAAACGGCACAGCGTAATTGGCTAAAAGAGATGCCTAAAACTGTCCGCCATGCAATCGAGAAGGCGGAGAAGGATGGCGACTACGAATCGGAAGAGTATCAGGCGGCCGTGATGGAGTACTACAAGGTTCATATGTGTCGCATTTGGCCATTCCCCAAGGCCTTGGCGGACGCTTTCGATGAGCTGGAGAAGGACCCAACGGTCTATTCTACCATGAATGGACCAAGTGAGATTACTGTCGTCGGGAACCTGAAGAGTGAGTCCTGCTTCTCCGCGCAGCCTCCTATAAGATGAGCTAAAAGTCTGAATTAGGTTACGATTGGAGTGAGAAGTGCAGAGAGATCAAAGTCCCTACTCTCGTTATCCATGGCGAGTTTGACGAGGCGTCTTATTTAGTGGTTGAGCCTTTGGTCAAGAACATTCGCAACTCTAAATGGATTACTGTCAGCAATGGGGCTCATATTGTTCACTTAGAGCAACTTGAGAAGTACTCATGGTTTCTGGAGAAGTTCCTACATGGCTGAGCAGGCGGTCTGTGTCGAAACGATGATGCCACTTGAGTGCAGGCGGAGAATGGCAAGAGGGACACCGTAGCAAGTATGCAAAGAAAGCCTGGAAGATTAGCCAAGATATTAAACAAGAGTAACAATGATATCAATTGGCAAAATCCTGTTGCAAGACATATTTTTGGTTTCCATAATTATGCGTATTTTTCCGATTCATCACCTCAACTCGTAAGTCGGCCTTTTCTTTTCTGATGCTGCCCATTTACCCCTTTTCATTTCATCATTTCTCATGAATCCAAGAAACGTCCTACAATTATTCATCTTGGGATCCCATCAAATCAGTCAGATTCTTCGTCAGAAAGCATGCGTGGGCCCCTCTCTCCCCTCTCATTCGGCCGCAGCATCCGCGGGCTTCTGCTGCGGCGTGGCTCGTGAAATAGTACACCCACATCCCTCATTATCTCCTCGGCTATGGTGGTGCCAACGTCCTTGTAAGCGGTCTTCCTGCCTGATTCGAGGAAATATTCAAGTTCGTTCTTCAGTCTCCATGGCGCCGTTTCCGTCCGGTAGACCCACTCTTGAAATTCCTTCCTCTCCTGCCTCATGAAGGATTCCCATGGCTCGATACGCTTGTATATCTTGGGTGCCAAGGGAAGGTAAGGACTCCATGCGCGACGTCGGAACTCAAGATACCCCAAGGAATGCAGAAAGGTGAGGGACAGCGTCGTGTCCCCGGACTCAGGATCCACCTCAAACAGCTCTTTCTGAGCGGGTTCCGCGACACGGGGGGCTTTGTTGGTGACAAAGTCTTGCTCAAGGACTCTGAGCACACCCATGAACTCCTCCGAATTGATATCCACAATGCGCCTCTCCATGACCAATGGGACTTCAATCGGTTCATGCATCCCTTTGTAATTGTTGAAGCAGCACCGTCCAGTAGTCCATACACAAAACCGGCAGAAGTAGAGCGTCTCCTCCTCGGCATCTTTGCCGCACTCATCGCAATAGTACTCGCAGAACACCGCTTCCTCGACACGGTCGTCCTTCTCTCTCACCCAAGGATCCACGACGTAGGCCTGTATCAGTCTGACAGCTTCATCGTCGTACCCAGTCCGGAGAAGGAGCAGCCGCGATAGCATTCTGATGATGTAATAGTGGTCGTCGATCGTCCTGTGCTGCGCTATGACTAGTTGCGCAATATACTGTGCGATGAATTCGTCGGCGTTTGCGACAGCTTGGTCAGTCAACGGTTTGTGACACCCTCCTATTGCGGTATCAAGTGGTTTTTGGCCCCCGAAATCCTCAGCACGCAGCATCCTTTCCCAATGATCCACGCCGGTCTCCCTCCTCAGCCTTTCACAAGTATTATGGATCATAGTCATCATCGCCGGCACCTCCGCTCGCGGGTCGTCCGTATGCAGTACCGTCTCCCCATAAACATCGGCGTTGGCAATGAAGTCAGCGACCTTGGGATGCTGGAGCAAGGCATCGAGAATCCCAGGCTCACGGTTGTCCACGGCAACTTGCGCGGCACTCCTCCAAGAATTGTCGGAGGCTTCTTTTCCCGGACAGAGTTGTCCTTTCACCGGATCAGCACCCAAGTCCAACAAGTACCGCACCGCCGGCAGATCCCCGCTCCTGCAGGCCTCGCCCAGCACGGTAAATCCAACCGAGCTGACGACATCGTCCACGCCAAGACCGTGCTGAATCAGCAGTTCGATCATCTTGTACGCTGGTGCGTTACTGTTATTCGTCAAGGCTTTCCAGACACACGAGCCGCAAGTCGAGTATCTGGGCGTAAAGTCGGCTCCATGTTCGAGAAGAAAGGCAACGACTCTAATTGCACCGGAGGAGCATGCTCCCATAAGGGGTGTTTCGCCATCATAAGAAGGGGTATTGATGGTTTCAGGAGCTTTCTCATAAAGAAGCTTGGCAACCTCGAATTTCCCTCGAGAACATGCTGACCAAAGCGGTGTTTCCTGGTAGTAGAACGATTGGATGTTGGGTTTGGCCCCTGCTTGGAGGAGACAGCGGACAATCTCCAGGTGGCCTTCTCTGGCTGCAATGTTCAGAGGCGTTTCACACACCAAGCCCTCCTTATCCTGATAGTTCACCAGGCCCGGCTCATATTCGACGTATAGCTTGCACAACGCGAGATTTCCCTCCTGAACTGCAGCCTGTAGCGGGGTTCTGGGGTCACCAGGTGCCAAGAATCGTTTTGTATCGGCACCGTGATCCAGGAGTAGCTTCACCAACTCTACGTCCTTCTCCGCCGCCTCGATAAGGATGTCGTCGAAGTCTTTTGGTACATAGTTGACACTCGGAGGCAACGAATGTTCCAGAAGCAACTTGAGAATTTCCACATTGCCCCCGTAAACGGCTGCGTCCAGAACGCCAGGGAGATTGTAAGCTTCTTCCAAGGTGGGGTCTGCACCGTGCTTCAGGAGAAGTTCAACCATTGGGTAGTTCTGATTCTTGACTGCTAGCATTAATGGTGATCTTGTATGGCGTTTTGACTTGGGATTAATAGTATTGATGGAGCTGCTGTAAGAGATCAACAGCTCTGCGATATCGAGGTTTCCGTTCGGGTCTTTATCGCCGCTGCTGTATTGTCAGTCTGATATACACACTTCAAGAATTCAGTGCCTTACATGTCTTCCAGTCTCCCCGCGACGAAGTCCACGGCAACAAATAGTGGTGGCTTGTCGCTTGCTTGTGGATGACGGTCGGGATTTGCTCCGGCCCTTAGAAGCAGTTCGACGGCCTGGAAGTTCTGCTCGGTAATCGCGTAAGATAAAGCCGTAAGTCGAACTGGTGCACCGTTACTAGACTCGGAGTCGGTGAGAAGATCAATGTCCAAGTCCCGTCGTTCAAGCAGATGAGGTAGCCAATCGGCGTATTTTGGCTGCATCAGCAAGTGTATGGCAGCAAAGCCCGCGGCATCTCTCTGATTGATATCTTCGATGTTGTCTATTAGATGTAAAAATATGTCGAAATGCATGTCGACGATTGCTGCTGTCATTGGTATCAGTTTATCTGGGGAAGGAAACTTGATGTTCAGATCGGCCCCAGCTCGACTGAGCTTGTCGATGATATGATAAGAATATTTCGTTGGCTTGCTGAATGCCTGATGTATGGGCGTTGACCCGTCTTTATCTGAGATATTGGGGTTGGCCCCGACTCGAAGGAGCTCCTCAACCAGGATCGGGTTTCCGTTGCTGCATGCCAGCCACAGAGGGGTCTCTCCCCTGAAAGTGGACATGTTTACATCTGCTCCTGCTTTCATGAACGCATCGATCATTTCTGAAACGAGATCTTGATCCGGATCGGTGTTGAATCTGCAAAAGAACATCAACGCTGTGGCGCCTATGGCGTAGTCTCTACGGTTGATGTTGAAGGGACGCTGCAGGAAATGGCGAATCATATCTGGCAGACCGACCGGCTCCTTTGCAGCATGCATCAAGGGAGAAAGGCCCGCTTCGTCGACTATCATCTCATCATGTCTCTCTCTGAATGAGTCAATGAACATGGCGAACCGAGGGTAATCTCTCCACGTATTTTGCTTGAGCCGCCAGAAGAAGCCCCATACTCCGGTTTGCCAAGGGTACGTTTCTGGGTCGTCCATGACGTACAAGTCGACAACAAGGTGGATGATGTTTGCGGCGTTCGCAGTGATAAGAGCCACGACAGGAGGAGTAATCCCATGGGGCGATGATATTGTTCCGTCTACGTGGCGACTCCAAGTTCTGTATGATGATGAATTGAAAAAACGGCGCACTTGGGGTATCAGCTTTCCCCTTTTGTCTCCTGAGAGCTTGAAATGCGACTGCCAATTTCTTGCCGCGTAATGGTAAAACGGATATTCTCGTTCAACATCTCTCGAAAGACCTCCTCCAAATATGGGCTGCGAAAGATACTTGAGACAGAGCGACGCCATGTTGGCATGTTGTTCATCTTTGCTGATGTACGAATTGAAGTGGATTCTAAGGGAGGGGTGCAAGGGAAAGGCCTCAAATTCGTCGCTGACTCTGATCAGCCGAGGGCATTGATGCATCAAGATTGTCTGGATATCGATAAACTTCAGACGGGGATTGTCGTGAAGGCACGCGAGAGCGTCGCGCAGGGTGTTGCCACGAATATGTCCGATGGTGCCTAGGATGACATGCAGCGCTGACAGGGCGTAATTGTCGTTGCTGATGTTCTGGAACAATGGCAGCAGGTTGTAGTCAAAGTACTTTCCTAACTTTTGCGGGTATGGAAAGATCCGGCGGCTCATGGAGAACCCGTACTCATCATCGTCTCTTGCGGTCGAGAATCCGTCTTCCATGGAGCAATTGGCGTAGACGAAGAATGATTCTGCTTGCTCTTTGATCGAATCTGCGAGCTCTGCGGGCGGGTCTCTCGTTGACTTGATGGTACTGAAGTCCTCGACCCTCTTGTCCACATATGTAGCAATGTCCTTCCGAATGTCCTGGTCTTTCATCTTGATACGAGTGGCTCTCACAGAAGCCATAGCCATGACCTCGTTCGGGGTGTAAGTGATGAAGAACTTGAATCTGACGGTATCCCGGGGAAATAATTGGTTGAATGGTCCGGTAGGTGCTGTACTGGGAGGCGTCGGCGGTGTTGAACGAGCAACTGGGTGGTCGATAAGACTAGCTACTAGAGCCAGAAACTCTTTGACAAAACCCACGTCGCATTCGTGGAGCCCATCCACTATCAAATAGACTGTGATCGACTTCCCAGCACCCTGGCCCAACTGCAGCTGTGACATGATGTTCCGGAGGATGCCAAAGAGCGCGGCCATGCTAAACTTCCCGTCGGCGTCAGGGAACAGAAACTGACTGCTCAATAATTCGAACCATTGTGGCCGTTCGCGAAGAATCTCTTGGATAAAATACTCCATGATTGGTGGTTTCTTATTGCCTGTTGAGCTTGCATTGCAGAAGAACGAGAAGACCAGGTCCCATGGCTTTGACGCATCTCGAGAGAGGTGATTCGCAACGGACTTGGCGAGATACGTCTTGCCACAACCAGCACTTCCGTAGACATAGAAGTCCTCAGTCGCATTAGACCTGGACCATTCAAGGAAGAATGGATGCGTCTCTATCCATGTGCATGTGCCCGGCATCGTATTGATATCGTGCCCAAGATGAGCATCGTTCCAAGTGCCAAGCCTGTGTATGAGTCTGTCCCGGCGTTCTTTCATGTACTCTAAATTTCCATCAGAACCAATCCATAACTCCAAGGTTGAATGAGAACTGACCGATGCTTTTCTTCTTCAACCATGCTTGGTGAGCGTTGCCACCGTGTGCAGCAGGTATTACGCCTGGGGGTAGCCCCATGGCTCGGCCTGGCGGGGGGCGTGGTCGGACAGGGATGTCTACTTTCTGTCAGTAAATCTCAGAAATCCATGTCTTAGCAGATAACTACCTGGATCCGGTGATGGCGGTCGGGGAACTGGAGAACTTCGCAGTACCGGCGGTGCGGGCGGAAAGAATACCCTCCTAGACGTATCTGCCGAGGCCTTCGTCATCAACTCGCCAACTTGCTCAGCTAGCTGAAGATAGATCCTATCCTCGGGGGACGGGAACCTTGTGAGTTGAAAGTGGTCGCAGTCTATGGTGAATGTCTTGCTTTGAGATGATTCGAGCTCAGCGCGTCGTTTCGGAACTACCTGCTTGATGTTAGAAACCTCAACATGGTCTTCCGCTTGAAGTTCTCACCAAAGTCTTGTGCGTTTCGGAACCATCAACAGTCAGCTCAACCCGTCTCAACGCAATGAAATTGAGCATCTCAAGTTCCGTCGGCAGCCTGTCAAGAAAAGCGGTGTTGACTTCGCGGACGGCATCTGCATATTGCCTTGTGTCGTCCCACGATGGTTTCAAGGATCCCTTTTGGAGACTGAGTGCCGCGATAGTTTTGACTGCTTTCAGAACGCCCTCCGAATCAGTGCCGTGATGTACCGTGTCCAAAAAGACAATGCCAGCGATGGAATCGCGGATGTTGAAGTACTCAGGACAGCTCAAGGAGAGTATGACGGCCTTGATTTCAGTTAATTAAGCTTCTTGAGTTGCGGCGCGTGTTGTCTTCGTACCTTCTTGACGATGACCCCACCGAGACCATGTGCAATGAAGATGGTTGGTCCTCCTCCCTAGAAAAAATCTCGTCAGCTGCTATGCTCAAGACACATTGATGTCGAATCAAAGCGTACCCCATTCACTGTGTAAACAGCCATGATTATTGCGAGGAGTTCGTTGGCATGGAATGCAATACTGGAGGGCGTCATGTTGACTGACGGGTCCGAGTTGTATCCGTATGACCATAATCGCGCCGAGTTTGAGAAGTTGCCGAGGAATTCCGGATCCGAAATCCACATCTTGCCAGATTCATCATGATGCCATGTCGTCTTCGGCGATCCTCCTATGTCGTGGACGCAGATGATGCTATCCGAGGTCAGCGTCGTAACTTCAACCCGCAAGAGCTTACTTACTTCACCAAAGGCCGCCATCTTGGCGGCACAAGATTCAAGTTTGGAGGGTAAACGCACTCCAAGCTCGGGATGATCATGATGAGCTCTTGACACGCCGCAGCTTGGATCGCGATTGCACCTTTCCTAGTTTCGTTTGCGCCTCTGTTGATGTCAGCATAGACGAGCAAGTTGCAACCCCACATTCAGGGACGACAAGAAGTCGAAAAGACGACCCGTCACTCAGCAATAACAGTTTCTCCGCCCAGATCAGGCAGCCGCTGCAATGTCTTTCTCATGATGATGACTGCAGAGAAAAGCCAGTCTAGGCGGCCTCATGTGAGGAGTTGACGCTGCTAGGGCTGAACGATTGGATCCTGCGCCACGCGAGCGCGAGCCTGCAGGTGCTAGACAAGGGGGCGGGATGCCCGTTTGGCCCCCAAAATGGAAAAGGCGTGGCGCCGAGCTAAGAACTTTGTGTCTTACCAATGGTCCTTTGCTTGTTCAATTATGCAATGCCAGCGCAGCCTGATTTCTGCTGCGGCTGAATCCTTGTTCTGTCCGACATTCTTGTCGTTGCGTCCTTGCTCATGCATGTGCTTTAGACCAGGGTACCTCTTCCGACCCCTGCTTACGGGAAAGTGAAGCCATTCGCTCGGGTTCGGGTAGTGTGTAGCGACATTCATACTCGCTCAGACACAACATAATTGTGCCCCCGTTGATCAAAGACGACATGATTATTGATCTGATCGCCGCGATTCTCACTTCTACATCGAGTGTTGGAAGTTTGAATCAAGTCTCGCAACCAACATCTCTTGGAGTTAGGAGGCGGCGTAAGATGTTTTTCATGACATGATTGAGGTAATTCGAAGGCATTTTCGTGGTGAATGTTGTTTTGGACTGTGCCTCTTCTCATGTCGGCCACATCGGATTCGTACTTCTTATGCCCATAATTGACTGTCTATCGCGTATCCAACAAGTGGCAGTTGCCAGTCTTGAAGCTGCCTGGATGAGATTTACCCATCAAGGTGATTAATCAAGTCTTCTCACTTTCGTCTCAGTTATATTTAAGGAACGGCTTTTGCCTCTTCGGTAGCGGAGCCACACCACCAATGGTACAGGAAGTGGTTCCATTGTCAGATTCACTGGGAAGATCAACTCCCGACAGCAAGTGGACAAAAGAAGGTGCGACACATACAGCACAGCTTCACATGAAACTGATATTGATGGCGCGGTTGCGAATAAGCCGATGCCAGCAGTGTCAAACACCATTGACTTTCAGCACTGGTTATGAAGCCCCGCTGACGTTGCCTTTGGGGCTTCAAGATTGTCATGTCTTCATACTTGCACCCCTCTAGCCCTTCTGACCCTCCTATGGCAACAGTCGCTTCCCGAGCATGGCCCATGTCTCATCTTGAGGAAAGATTGTTGCGCTGCGACCCCTTCATAGACGCTAAACTCGTAATCTAATCCCAGGCAGAGCCGATCAAACCATTGATTTGATCCCAGCAGGCTACATTCAAGGGACATATGGCGAATATCCCGGGATCAGAAAAGGATGTTAGACATACGCAGAGTAAATGTCACGCTTCAAGTTTCGAAAGTGAAGGTTTCCTAAAGCTGATCCCTTTTTTGTAGCAAATTATTTAGTCAGTTTCAGAGTGACGCATCATGAGAATTCCACAACGGAACGCCATATGAATATTCGTGTACCTCTGTGCCATCCTGTGATGTATCATACCATGGATTCACGACAACTCAACAGCTTCTGGGTAGCGCCTTGGCTAACTTTCTCCAAGAACGAACCATGATTTCTCTTGGTTTGCTGTTATCATTCCCAAATAAACACGAAGCGGCCAGCCAAATAGGCTGGGTTCATGTGATTGCGTCCACTCACGCCGGCCCTCGAGGTGGGAGTATCTAACTCGGTCACTCATGCAGAGATTGTTATCAGCATGTCCCGATCCATGGCCAAGTTATCCAAGATTTGCGTTGTGTGCTGCGTCGATGTGTCTTCACCCCCGCACTCCCTGCAGCCTTTTATCCTCGTCGATATCCAGTTCAATACTCCTAGACGACCATCGTCGTCGTCACTGATTACCAAACCCGTTGCATATATCGCAGATATAAAAGTAGATTCCCGCAATCAGATCTTCAAATCCCCACAAGGTTGTAGCTCATCGTGCGACTGTTGACATGATCCTTGCTCGCTCATGATGAAGCCCTGATTATCGAAACTTGAAGAGAGGCACGTATTGCAGGATACATCAAACTCACTCAAATCCAACAGCTTTACTCTGCTGGCCGTCATCCTTGTCTTCCATGTGCCTTTCCATCCCGGATACCCCCACAATGCCCCTTGACAATACGTGTCATTCTCATCCCGCCTCTGGATCTCAGGAGAAGTCCAAGGATATAACCGCAGACAGCTCACTATCGCCGTCCCAACATCTCCTGGAAGCGGAACTATCTTTCGGTTGATGAAGTTTCCGATCTCCTTCAGGGCACTGGCCTTATATCGCTATAGACCTTTTCATCTGCGAACAAATCTGTATTTGCGGCTCTGGGGCATGTCAAGACGATTTAAGCAGGTCACCGACGCTAGAACCGACATTGATATTATGCACAGAATTGGTTGAAGATAGGACAGGTTTGATGACGAACTGGGTATCTGGGGCATCTAAACCAAGAAAACTCTCATGGAAACTCTACAGCTCGTGGTTACAAGCATAACAGTGAAGGCTTCCTCTCGTCCAACATATTCGTCGCCATATTCATGTCAAATACCCAAAGTAGCAGGTTTTTCGCAGCAGAGAGGCAAGGGGCTGGGTGTACCTTATACTATCTTGGTTGACTGATTGAGACAGGGTTTGAGTCACTATTAGCATAGAACCTTGTTGGATCCTCGAGTCATTTGCTTGATTCCGGGTTTAGCTGCATTATGCGTGACTTCTCAACGTAACGATGATTTTCAGGATGCGCTTTATACGTCACGGAGGGGCCTTCAATCGCAGCCAGCTGCTATATAAAAGGGATCCCTAAATTGGAAAGCATCACAACCTCATGCCGCAATTGAACACCTGGAGCGAAAGAATTGGTATCAACGGACTGTATTCTGTGCTGTCCATTCGAGCTCCAGCCCGAAGTCAACGACGTCAGATAGGGCGAAGAAAGCTCCAACGACCAGAAGCACAAGTTCGCCATCTCTCTTACTCGCTGTGTGGATATTCGTCCCAAAATACACCAGAGCCAAACTTGAGATTCGTGGGCCTCCACTTCAGGCATAAAGCAATGACCATCGCAATTCAGGTTGCCTCGTAGTGAACCACGTGAGAACATGCCACATCCTCTGCAAATCATCACTTACAGCCAACGAATTGCGGCCGACGAGGGTATACCTCTTGGTGAGTGGCCATTAGTGAGTGGTCGTCGACATACACCCACACTGTTGTCTATATATAAGATGAGCTGCACCACTTTACCCCTTTGGAATCAAGATAATGAATCTTCTGATCAGATTGCGTTGAGTCTGGAGACAGTATAACAGCTGGTGTTTCGGTCGTCATCAGACCGTCCGTTGAGCTTCTTCCCGTCATGGCCTTCGTCGAAGATCATACGCTCCCAGTGTCGCTCGTAACCGGGGATGAACTGGACGTGGCGCCATAGAGGAATGACAGCACACGGGCGTTTATCAGAACTCTTATGGGTGTTCTTCATCGTCTGTATTGCTTTCGGGGTATTCAGGATGGATCTACTGAGAATAGAAGATGATGTTTTTTGACATAGAGGATGATGTGGTCTGGATACGTGTGTGTTGTGTGTAGCTCGCATCATGTCATCACATGTAATGTCAACCTGCTCCTGCGCGAAAAGTCCAACTCCAAGCACATGATCAGTGGCACCATCTTGCTGAACCACCTGCGTGACCTGGTCAATCCTCTCAGGCTCCTATGGACCAATGTTTGGTACAATGCGAGTCGCGGTGGGACCTCAGCCTGGTTTCCAGCTTCACAGTCAACGTCAGCTGAAGCTTGCCACGGCTGGGGATAAGATGAATCACCAACTACCCATTGTCCTTGATTCCTTGATTCTTTGGTTCTGCAGTTTGAAATATACCCAGACGCAGAGTTTTATAGAACAAGTAGCCTTTGGCTTCGAGAGGAAATCTGCACTTCCTGTACTGAGGCATATTAAGACTATTTAAGAGGGATGGCAGTAGGCGGCATGCTACACAGTCCAAGGGACAATGCGTCCCAGTTCTTCGAGAACGGCCCAGCCGCAAGGTTCCAAATCTTCGAGATGTCTATCACACACGCTGCCCTCTCAATAATGATATCTCTCCAACCAGCAGCAAGACCTAAAGCGTTCTCTCGTCCAGCCAGGTCATGATCTTATTCATACCTGGATATCCGTAATCATCGTCCCAGTGAGCTGAGAAAACCAGCGCATCACGTAGGTAAATTACCTTGCGGCAGACCGTGCGAAAGCCCGACTGAACCAGCATCGAAACTGCCTGCCTCAATTCGATAGCATCCAAAAGCCAAGCGTCGCGCGCATTGCCGCCTCGAACCACCATAACTCCGAGGCTAGATAGCTTCTGTTTTATACTTCAGCATATGGAGCTTAGACACAGGGCCGGATGGGGTATAAAGTCTCGGTCTAGGGGACTCTCGAAAGTTTAAGCGGCAACGGAGAGCAAATGAGTGCTTTGACTATGTGTTGGAGATTCGTTCTCCATTTGAGCTTCAATCCCGAGTCGACAACAACACACAAGCAGCCTGAGGATGGGCACGTAGGTCATCGTTCGTCATTAGTACTTACCTCCGATTATTCAGAGTCCAATACACCCTACGATGTGAGAGGATCACTGGGCCTCGCAGGAGTCGCAACAACTCAAAGCCGGAAGATGCAGCTTACAACCCACACAAGGCGGTAAAACGCTGCTAGCAATGGAAACTCGCGATGGCGAATGGATTCTGGGTTGCGGAACAACTCCTCTCCCATGGGCACATTTAAATAGTTCACATCACAAGACAGAAGAAACTTCATAACTGTAAACATTTCAATAAAGCAGCAAAAGGGCAAGCGAGGAAGGCATCTTCCCCTTTCCTGCCTCCCCACTGCCCATTTCGTAGCTGCTGCTGCTGATGACCCCCTTTAGGATAAAGAGTAAAAAGATACCCCGTTTTTGCCCTGAAAACGCCGTACCAATGCAAAAAGAAGCCTTTCGGGGGGGACAAATATTTTTTGCTTCAAACCACGAAACCAGCCAGCCTTACTCAATCCATATGAAGTTAGTCTGCCCCCTACCTCTCCGGCCGGGCTCGGTTGGCTTCTTTGCATGCGGTCTATCGTTAAAAAAAGAAGAAGAACGTGGCCTGGCATCCTTTCCCTTTTTTGCATCGTAGTAGTTCTTCTCTTCCCCCACCTATATCCTCCCCCCTTTGTAGAGTTTCATTCATTATCCCAACCGTATCCTTTTTACACAACCACACGCCTGCCTCTCAAGACTTGGACACCGCGGCGGTGAGGACCTGGGTCCTGAAGAAGCCGCCCTTGGTCTTCTCAATGACCTGCTGGTAGACGTTGTTGGGCGGGTGGTTCATGATGACGGTGCCCTCCTGGCTGTCGATCTTGGCGTCGAGGCGGGTCTCGCGGATGAGGTTGACGATCCACTTCTCGCCGTCGTCGGGGTTGAGGCCGAGCTTGGCGGACAGGTCGCGGATGTTCATGCGGCTGAAGATCTTGCAGTAGCTCTCGCAGATGAGGTGACGCGCGGCGTCCACGAACGCGTCGGAGGAGCTCATGAGGAAGAAGTCGGCGCGGCAGACCTCCTCGGCCTTGCGCAGGGCCTCGCGGGCGGCGTTGAAGTCGTGCGCGACGTAGAGCGCCGAGACGAACTCGGTGATGGGGTCGCTGTACTCGTAGGCCTCCTGGCGGACGTAGCGGATGACGTCCTTCATCTGCTTCTGGTGCAGGGAGGAGTTGCGCGAGCGCGAGCGGCCGGTGATGACGGCGGCGATGAGGTAGCGCAGGACCCAGGGGCACGAGGTCTGGATGGTGTTGATGTAGGCGGCGGAGAAGAAGAGGTCGAGGACGGCCTCGCGGGCGCCGTCGTGGTTGAAGAGGGGGAAGAGGGCCCAGTGGACGAGCATGGTGCGGTGGTCGAGCTGCGCGCGCGGGTTGTTGTAGAGCTTGGAGTCGATGCCCTCTTTGACCTTGAGGATCTCCTCGACGGAAGCGTCCCAGTTGGTCGTGAGGATCTCGGAGGCGAGCTTACCCCAGGTGGCCGAGGAGACGCGGTCGTTGTCGGTGGAGAGGACGCGGAACTGGTAGAGGAGCTCGGCGGCGGCGCCGTAGTTGCCGCAGCGAAACTGGAACTGGCCGAACTCGTAGAGGGCGTTGACCATCTCGATGGTGACCTGAAGAGCGTGTGTCAGCTTGCTGATCTCCGTCGGGATAGGCCGAGGCGGGGGAAACTCACATCGTGGTCCTTCTTAAGGAACTCCAAGTTGGCAACCTTGTCGCTGCGCAGCGCGCCGACGACGTCCTCACGGGTCAGCAGCTCCGAGATCTTGGCCGTGTCGGCCTCGTACTTCTCAAGCTGGGCAATGACCTCGTTGCGCTTCTTGGTGTACTCGGCGGGGGGCTCGCTGCCGCCGTTGAGGTCCTGGTAGAGCTGGGCGACGTAGTCGGCCATGTTGGTGTCCTCGAGCAGCTTGATCTTGCCGGCGAGGATCTTGCGCGCCTTGTCGTCGTCGCCCTTCTCCTCGGCGCGGCCGGCCTCGAACTCGATCAAGGGGAAGACCAGGTGGCGGGACAGCTGGGACGCGAGCTTGGGCAGGATGCTCTCGCCGTCGAGGGCGGCGTAGACTTCCTCCATGATGGGCGAGGTTGTTTGTGAGGGGTGTTTCGGGTTCGGTTAAGGGAAGATGGACAAATCGGTGCGGAAGACGGGTGACGTCGTCGGGATCGTGATCGGAGGCGGGGGGAGGGAGGTGTCGCGGTTCGGCCGTCCTTTCGCAAGTCGCACGTTATTTTTTGCTCAGATTTGTTTTCTCCGGCTGAGGGGCAGGCTCAGAAGAGTTTTGGCCATTTTCGCCAAAGGCAAGAATTGGTGGGGGGTTTTGCGGCGTGCCGTGGTTTTGCCGGTCCGCCTAATTCACTCACGCCTGGACCGTGCGTTTGCTTCCCGCCGTGAGGTCCCTGATTAGGTAAGGTGGGTTGGAGGACACAGACCAAGGACGTGGATTGTGCCGAGCTTCAACCGGCGCGAATCCCTTCGCCGGAAACCTCTGATGCTGAAGCTGTTGTCGATGGCCAGCCAGGGACCCCTCCACGACAACGACGACAATCCTCCTTCCGGCACCAATCCGCTCCTCCTGCCGCAAATATGAACTACACAGCTCTCAGAACGGCCTTCGCCAGGCCAGCCACCTTCCTCCCCAGATCCGCCATCCTCCCCACCGTCCGATTCTCCTCCACAGCGACACCCGTCTCAAAACCGTACCTGATCAACCTGACGGCCTCCAACTCCTTCCCCGTCTACAGGGACGACAAGGCCGCCGGCTCCAGCAAGCGCACAGTTATCAAGAAGATCGAGGGCGACCGCAAGGCCCTGATCACCGACGTGTCCGCAGCGCTGAAGGTGCCCAAGGAGAACTTCAGAATCAACCCCGTAACACAGCACGTTGAGATCAAGGTCCGTGATTCCAATCGCTGTGGTAAAACTCCGAGACTACCGGGCGTCGGCTGACTTGCATAACAGGGCCACCACACGACAGAAATCAAGGAGTTTCTTGCAACCACATTCGGCAACCCCAAGATCGCCAAGACGACACCGACGGAGGTCAAGGCATGAGGCCTGGGAATGGCGTGACGAGGCTGCACTGCAGCTTGTATATCAACCGTTGTAGCATACTGGCGGAAGACAAAAAAGCAGGAAAGGCTGGGCCGTCGCTGGCACATCCGGGCCGAGAAGCACCATAGTGAGCTAGACTAAAGGCCAAATGTATTATAACCCATTCAGGCGGGAGAGGGAATTCATGATAAAATATCCCACAACCGTATGACAACACGCGTTGACGAAAAGTATTAGATCTCGTCAGGTAGTCTCACAATGTGACAATAGTGGAGGTATTCTTGCATTGTCGCGTCATTTGTACACCTATGAAAGAATGGCTCCCGTCAAGCATCCTCGCTCCAAGCCACCAATAAACTCCCATCAAATTCCTTCTCTTTTTTTAGTTACACTCTTATACACGATCCACACCACCGCAGGATGTGTGCCTGTCCCATGGCAACACAAGGCTTGGATAAACCCTCCCACTCAGGGTCCATCTGGTATCAGTGAAGCTCCCCCAAACAAAACGCACTCCCCGACTCCGTTTCTATGCCATGCACAATCCTAAAAGTCGTAACACCAGAAAGTCTATCAATCCAACGCTGCGTACGCCGATAGGTTCTTGATCACACCATCCTTGGTCCACTCGGGCGACCGCATGAGCATCATCTTGAAGACGGACTCCTCTGACGGCAACGCGTCGGCAGGAAGGCTGGACTTGGGGTCGTTAGGGTCCCGAGCCTTTTCGGCCAACCGCCGCAGCGTTGAAATCCCGCAGGTGGCAATGTACACCAGCCCGTTATCTCGACCAGCGGGATCGCCTTGGCCGTTTCGCGTTTGCCACGGCTGCTCGAACTGGGCGCCGAGTACCTGCACAAAGTGGTATAAGCTCTGTGCGAATCCATTTCCGCTTGTGAGCCAGGCCTTCGCGATACCCGTCTCGTGACCCGGCGCAAGGGATGCGATAATGTCGGCAGCCAGAAGACCCTGCATGAGCCAGGGCTTGCGGTCCTCGATCAGTCTGAAAAACTTTTCCGGGGCCTCCACGTGTGCCACAGCAGACTCAGGTGTCTGGATGGGGATGACGGTCGTCGAAAGCGCAAATGCCCGTGTAAGTAGGTCGAATGGTGGATTGCTACTAGCGTCCATCGCAAAAATCGTCTTGTAGTGCGTGCGATTCGGCTCATCTCTTGCCAGGAACCTGGCCAACGCATCCACGGCGTGGAAGGTGTAGGTGTGGACACCAGGCTGGTAAGGAGGGAAGTACATCTTATCTTCTACCACCGTCGGGCCAGGTGCGGGAGCGAAGGCCAGAAGGAAATGCAGCAAGCACAGAGCTTGTTCGCGACCGGGAATCTCGACTGCACCAGCGATGTTGGACAGCAGGATGACGGCATCCTTCATGAACTCGAGGGTGTTTGCGTTCGTTCGGAAAAGCATGCTGCGCGTGCCCAAGTATCGAATGGTGGCGCAAAGGAACTTGATGACGAGCTCGTCGCCAAGCACCATATGATTCTCGTTGGCGGCCTCCGGGAAGGACAGATTGCGGAGAATCGTGATGACACAGGAGAAACGATCAACGGCTCGGTCAAGCTCGTACTCAGGCGACCCGAACTTCGGCAACTCCTTGACACCCATCTTCTCGGTCCAGCATGCGCGTGCGACGTCCTCGTACGGCGTAAGCTGGATATCCGACGACGACTCTTCCGTGTTTTCCACCAGAAAATCCAACTGTTCCTCCGCACACTCCAGCAAAGCCTCAATGAGCTCCTCGCAGTACTTCAGATGGATATGCAGGGCCTGATGTTGGGTTGCCGTCACCGTTGCCAAGGTGTCCAATGCGAGGCGAACCTCGCCATGGATACCAGACTCCAAGCTGCGGGTAAGGGCGTGCAAGTCTACATAGCCAAGCTCATATGGCGGCGGAATATCGGGTTTCAACGCCTGGAGCTCTAACCCCTTCAGATCGAAAGCGCGAACGTTGATACCACCATAAGCCTCCAGCGGTCGGGCGCTTGGAGTGTACTCGTCGGATTCTTGAGCGAGACGCAGCATACGGGGCTTGATTGAAGCAGCCATAGGGTTCTGGTCCATGACGGGAGGGGCGGGCATCGGCATACCGCCACCCTTTACGGAGGCGGGAGACGCTGCGGGGAAGTTCGGGTGGCCAGGCGTTGGCTCGACGCTTCGCGACAAGCTGTTACGCGCATGACCTGGCGGCACATTTGCTGGTGTCTGTTGTCCTGGCGGTTGAGGAGTTTGGAAACCATTCACAGCAGGAGGCTGACCACTGAACGACCCTTGCTTAACGGGCGTCTGGGCTTGCGGAGGCATGTTCGGCTGTCCTTGCGGCATCATCTGTTGCTGGGGCATCTGGCCTTGGGGAGACATCTGCTTAGTTGGAGTTCCCTGAGGTTGCTGACCAGGCATGGGCTGGTTGGGCATGCCCTGCTGCTGCTGTTGCATCATACGTTGCCTATTTGTCTGAGCATGCCAAGCCTCTTCAAACCTCAGCAAGTTCCTTTCGTAAATCTCCTTCATCATGTGCGGCGCCTGCGGTATTTGTCCAGGGTGAAATCCGATTTGATTGGAGACGTTTGGCCATTGGTTGCCAGCAGTGGTAGGTTTATATCCACCTTTGGCTTGAACAGCTTGGAAAAGCGTCAACAAACTAACCGGACGGTTGCCGATGGCAGGGTTCGGGTCAAACTGAAGGTTTTTAGCCGTCATGAACGTTGTGAGGCTCTTCATGAACTGGTCGGGATCGGTTCGGGGCATCGGGCGCTGCTGCTGCGGTTGCTGCTGGGGACGCATCGCGCCTGGGGGCATCTGGCCGTTCGGCATTGGCATAGGCTGCTTGGGCATCATGCCACGACCCTGAGCCATGCTCTGGGCCTGCATCTGAGCCGCCATCTGCATATTCTGCATGTTTTGCATGTTCTGCATATTCTGCATATTTTGCATGCCCTGGATATTGCCTTGCTGTAACTGTTTCTGAAGACGAGCCTGGTACGCGGCCATTTGTTGCTGTTCCATCGCATTTCGCGGCTGCATGTTGGGCGGCAGCATCTGATTCGGCATTTGTCCCATGTGTTGTGGCATCTGTCCCATTTGCTGGGGCATCATCCCTCCTGCCATCGCGTTCGGGTTAGGAGAGGGTCTCGCCGGGGACTGTTGCGTCGGCGTGAAGTTGGGATTGAAGCCCGGGGGCATGTTCGGGTTCTGCATGTAGTGATTCGGTTGAGGCGTACCATGTTCGGATGGATTTGGCGATGCCTGGGGAGCAAACTGTTGCGCGCCGGGCGAGAATGGATGAGGTGACGCGGTCGCGACCCTTTGAGGAACGCTACCGGGCCTCAACTGGTTTGCCATTATCGGGGACGGCGTCGCATTCGCGGAGCCATTCTGGAGATGAGGATAAGGCGATGGCTGACTTTGACCTTGTTGAGACATGGCGCCTTGATAACCGGGGAACGTCTGGGGCGTCTCGGAGCGCGACGTCGGCAGCATGCCCGGGTTTTGTCGCGGTGAGCCGGCGAGGCTGTCTTCGCGAGGACGGGGTCGTTTCGAGGGGATCACTTGGTTTGTTTGATAGGCGGGATTCTGGAAAGACGATGGCGAAGCGTTGCGCATCTGGCCATTTTGCATGGCAGCCATCTGCTGCTGCTGTTGCTGGGCCTGGTGCTGCTGGGCTTGCTGCGCCTGCTGGGGATTGGCGAACTGGGCCGGGTTGAAATGGGCTGGGTTGCCCATGAAGGCAGAGGGATCCATCATGGCTCCGGCGGCATTGGGATCGTTCATGTGAGGGAAGCCGTTGCCATTATGGTTGGGGACCGCGGCTTCGTTCATCCAGGTGCTCATGGCTGTGGTCGGCTTTCGCGACCCATCGAGCGATTACTTGGAAAGTCAGCGACAAGGACTCAATAGGCCAAGGTCCATTGAGATGGAGCAACGGATGATCGTGATGGGAAGTGGCACGGCAGTAGGCTCTGTCGCGATGCAGACTTGGTCGCGCGCGTCGCGGTTGTGTGTGGTAGACGTGGACGTGGTGGCCTTGGAGCGTGGTGCGTTGTGCTGGGGGGAGCGAGCGAACGAGTAGCGGGTGTGTGTGGGAAATCAGCAGTGGAGCGGCCGCTTTTGGCTGGAGTGCTCTGTGCTGGGGCGGGCTGGTGGCAGCCGTCGGGCTTGGGAGAAGGAGGAGGACCGGGCTGTGTGCCTGGGCCTTGCACTTGCCTTCGGGGGAACGACGGGGGGAAGGCGCGAGTGAGTTGAGCAGGCGGCGGCAGGAGTGGGCAGCGAGGGAAGGAAGGCGGCGAGTAAGAAAAAAAAAAATATACGTAGGGGAAATAAAGGAAGGAGAGACAGGGCACCCAAGAAAGAGCGCGACACAGGCCAAGGCAGGCACCATCGAGGTTTGCCAACGCCAGCGACTCGCGTCGTCTCGCCGGGAAACGTTTTGTTTCCTTTCCTCTCGTCCCAATGCGACAGGCTACCTGCTTATTTGGGGATGGGGAAAAGAGTGCAGAGAGAAATAAGGAAGGAAATGGCAGGCAAGTGGGTGATGAAGCAGATGCCTGCCTGCAGTGCAGCAATCGCGAACGTCGCGCATCCACAATAGCAAGCATCAACTTCATCAGCCACCAGCCATCAAAAGACGGCGCGGCATCATCAAAAGCAGCTCACGAGATAATTAGAATAGAACTTACAGCTTTATCGGCGGCCCGGGGGTGATCGGGATGGGGGTGCGAGGATTGAAAAAAAGGGTACGACTTTTCGGGGCGGCGGCGGGAGGGAGGCAGGAGCTGCTCGGGTCGGGGCAGCTGGACAGGACGGGACAGGAGCAACAACCAAACGAGCAGCGGACAGAGAAAGGGCAGACCGATGGGGACCGGCCAGCAATAGGCAGTCAGAGATGCTGAACGAAGGGTGGTCCGGCTTGGTCTTACCTAAGGCTAGGTAAGGTATCCGTAGAGTGAGTGGAAAGTCTCTCAAAACGCAACGCAGGAATCGCGCTCAAT